TTGGGTCGGTGGTGGCTTGGTTGGGGCTGATTTGTGCGAGGTGTGCGGCTGGTTTAGCCGTGGCTTTCGGGTTGCTTCAGGGATATGGTTATGCAAGTTTTGGGCTAGGATTGGTGGCTTGGGGCAACGCCCCACAACCAATCCCAAACCAGCCCAAAACTTGCATAACTATGTCCCTGAAGCAACCCGAAAGCCACGGCTAAACCAGCCGCACACCTCGCACAAATCAGCCCCAACCAAGCCACCACCGACCCAAAGTTAACCTTAAACCCTCTTAACCGAATCCTGTATATCAGCCCTTTGCCGAGACTACATGAACCCCAAACAAACCCAAGACCCGCCCTCACTAAGATCTTAGCAAGCTCAACACTCACCCCAAACCAGCCCCGAGCAACCCTGAACTGCCACCAAATCAAAGCCAATAGGCAGCTCTAGTCCGAGTGAGGCCAATAATGCTGGCGATTCGGCCGGCTAGCCCGAGCAACTTACGCAACCCTGACAAGAAACATTGTTCCGTAGAATGATCCCTGGCAAATTGACCCATCCATGCGCATGTTGGCATCTCAATTGACTCCGCCTAGGATGTTTCAGAAGTTTGTTTCCGATAAATTCACGCAAGTGATCAATGGCATCTCCGACTATATAAACACATTGACCCTGTTGAAGGCACTCCTGTGCTCGCATCAACTGCCATGTGGGATCATCATGCCAGGGAAACTGCGGTCTTCCTGTGATGTGATGCTTGCGCCGTTTGAGTTGCCTCGGACATCTGTCTTGAGTCAAAAAGGCGCGCTGCATCGCGCATTGGTGCATCTAACGCTTTTGGCGAGAAAAGCTCTGCTCATGTTAAGTATGCAAACCCACCGGCAAAGTATGCTTGGGATTCCAACTACGTTTCTGTCCTGTTTATACCTGACAATCTTCTCTTTGTTGAAGAGCGCCCCGCAGAAGTGAAAGAATTCTATACAGCTTGCTGGTAAGTGCATGCTTTAGTCATTGGCTGCGCTGAAATTCTCTACAAGTCTTACCTTTGTCAAACAGGTGTCTTTGGCAACCCTGCAAAATTCTCAATCCACAGCTTGCACAAGGTTATCCTTTGGGACACAAAATCAGCACTCGCGAGGTAATTCGGAGGCAGGGCAATATGCATATATATATATATATATATATAGTAGTAGTTTAATACATATATATATATATATGTATACGTGTGTGATATATACATGTATATTATTATATGTATATATATATATGTATATATATCCACTCTCTGACTGCACACTGGCAATCATGCGAAGCAGTCAAGGAGCCCTAGTCCACTGCCTTCCAGCACCGCTCACCTGCCCCAATCTTGTGTGCTTGCAAGATCATTGCGCTGCCAAACTTCCCCGCCGCCCCTCAAACTGAAAATCGTCAAACGGACACCACGCACACAATTTCACGTAACATGAACTGAATGCAAGGCTGCCAACCCAGCCCCAGACCAGTCTGCCTCACACCTGCAAGAAACTGGCAATGTGGAGACCAGCGTAACCTCACAGAAAGCAACGCGCATAAGATTGCAACAGGGGCTTTCTGTTTCTTGCGGCAGAAAGAAAAGTCATGGCAAAAAGCAAAAAAACAACTCCTTTGGGCGCCCAGCTGGTGCACATAGGCGGATAGTGTAGAGCGCTGCGTGCAGCTCCTCAGGTAAGAGGACGACAGGACGACAGGACGACTGGGAAGAAAGGAGCATTGAGAGCATTGACGCGTCTGGGCTAAATGCGTGATGGGGGATGAGCTCGGTCTGCCACTCAATGCCTAGGGCATTTGAAAACCGAAAATCCTGCGAAGGTATCTGCGCATGCTGTCGGGATATTGGGAGTGGTGGGGAGAGGGGGTCGGATTCGGAGCCTCAGGGATCCTGCATTTCAGGTGGGACGCAGCTCAACATGAGCGTCAGTCTATCCAAATTCAATGGACTACTCTGCCGAGCTCCACATTGGACTATCCTCTTGTGTGAGGCATTAATTGCCAGCTAAGCCCACCTCAGCTGTGCCGCTCCCTACAAAGAGGGCGGCTCGCAGGCCTGTTGCCCAGCTGAGCTCGTCTCTGGGAGCCCGGCTGAAGACAAAGGCCTGCAACTTGCAAGAGGGTGAATCAAGCAAAGTCTCCTACTTCTTCAGATGGAGTAAAACTCCAAGCACAAGTGACCGGCAAGTGCAAGCATTGCCTCGTCAGATCGCGGACACTCGCAAATGAAGTGGCCAGCCTGGCTCATGCACCATGCATGAGGTAACTTGCGAGCATGGCCCTGTCAGACAGACATGCTTCAAATGCATGCTGGATATGCGGATTCTCAGCGCTGGTGGCACAAGCTTGGCCCTTTGCAGCCGGTGGATGACTGCCTTTCAATTCCAACCTGCCGGTGCCGCTGATCTCTTGCCCAGCTCTTCAAAACGGAAGTCGCCGCTCCAGCCACCTCAAACAATTGAGGATTCTTCTCCGTGTACTTTCTATGCATTCTGCATCCTTGCTATCCGTGACCCTGATTGTACCCCCAATGCTCACAAAGCCGAGCTCCAGGCCCTGAGCGAGGACAGACAGAGCACCACGCAGAGTGACAGGCAGCGCGACGCAGCCGTCGGGAGGCACCTGATTCGGCTAAAAGTTGTGCGTCTCACTACCGTGACGTTCCTAACCAACGCTCCTGGCCTCTTCTGCCATCTCCTGACCGGCTGACCGATCCGTACATCCGCTACATTCAATGAGAGAATTCACTAGACAGGGCGGGTGTCTTGCGTGGTAAACTCTGAAAGTCCTGGGCATTCACGCTTAGTCGCACCTAGCCGAGTTGGTAAATTGCGCGACCCGTCTATTGAGTCCAGCTTGTGCAATGTGCAGGCGCACGGGAACATTGAGCTGGTTGATGACCCGAGCAGGCGGCTCCAGCAGCAGCATCTTGTAGTCCTGGGTTAAGCCCAGGCGATGCCGCTAAATGCCTCATTGTTTGCTCCACCAAATAAACGCAATGCACGCCTCTTTGGCCTGCACGCGGCACAAGAAGTACGGCGGCAGCAAAAGCTTGCCTGATGGTTGCAAAACGGCACAGTTTGTAGAAACGTCGCAGTTGTCCATCCTGTGGCCCAAGCCTCCAGCATCAGCTGACTGCCTCCGGGCACGTTCGTGTAGTGAAGCTATTGGTTCAAGCAACTGCAAAAATGGCTCAGCCTTCCAGCGCCCTAATTGGATTTCAACGCAGATTCGGGACATGACATCATGAGCCAAGCTGGAAGGCTTCATCCTTGCTTAGCGCCTTAAAGCGGGATGGCTGGCGGCGCGGCCCAGGCCCTGATTGCACAGCAGCATCGACTCTCATGTTCACAAAGTCTCACAGAGCTGCGACCCGTACCCGTTACCAGTTGCCCAGTACCCCCTGCCAGCCTTGCGTCGGCCCATTGCCTGCAACACACCACAAAGATACAACAAAACTAATGAGCACCTGCGTTTCTCTGACATCTTTTTTCAGCGCTTAAGCTGTCGCATTGCCTGATGTGCCAGCTGTTCCTGCAGCCGCAAGGCAAACGGCAGACCAAACGCTTGGCAAGAATGCCTGAGAAGCTGTGGTGCCTATCAAATCTGTGTTGGAGTCAGAATAATATGACTTATGACTTATGACGTTTCAATGGTACTACCTCACAAAGCATTCAAGCGGGCAAAGCATACAAATGTAAAAGCAAAATGAAATGCGTGCAACAAATGTATAAATGTGTTGCCTGTTCGCTGGAGCTGCGCACGCTGCGAGCAAGGCTGCCTCCACACACCACCAGCTGTGCAAGCAACGCTTCACGCTGAATTTATGACCTGTCTGCAACTTGAACAGCCAATCTGCTCCCAGCCAATCTTCTCCCTAAAGTCGATTGGCACCCGACTAGCAGCGTTGATACCGGAAGCAGTTGATCATTATCAGCATGTCTTTTGTGACTGCATCTTCTTGTTGGCGTACGCAAAGGCTTCCTGCCTGATGAGCTGAGCGCGTAGCCCCGTCGGCCAACACGATCCAAGGAGATGCCCTCCACCTGCCCAGGTTGGCATGGCATACGCACAGATCGCACTAGCAGTACTGACTTGGAGCTTGAACACGCTGATGATGACAGTGCAGCTACCCTGTTCCCTTGCACCTGTTCCCTTGCACAACGGGCATGCAAGTGAACCGAAAATTGAACTGCATCCTTGCAGTGTGTGTGTGTGTGTGCCAAAATTCAAAACTGAATGCTGTCAAAACGGGGCCACAACGTGAGGAACTCAGCATGCTCCACGTTGCACGTCGCGCCCTCCCGGGAGACATGCCTCTGCGAAGACCCGGCTACCTTCCACCCTGGGCATCGTGCAAAATGCATAGTGCAGGAAATGGCTGTGTTCCAGCGGTTGCGACATGTCTCTGCCGGGGCTTTTCAGTCAAGGTACTGCACGGCCACAAGCATCCGCTCCTGCAGAACTACATCCTGGCGCACATTCAGTTTACGCCGCAAATACCGAGCAACCCCAGCCGCTTGCCAGCCGAGCTTGCAAGCTCCCGTCTCCTGCTTAGGATTCTCCAGGCGGCGCTCTGTGTGAGGTTGCAGCCGCAGCCTGGGATGTCAAACTCTGAGCATGATGCAACCTGAAACTCCGGGGGGGGGGGATAGTTTTGCCATTTGGCGCAAATACTTATCTGTCCGCCGTTTCTCGAACAAACCGACGTTTGCCTAAAAAAACTGCCGTCACTTCGAAGGCCGGCCAATGGTCGGGAAAAGTTGCCCTTTGGACGGGTAAAATTGCCGTTTGATTTGGCAAGCGACCACCTGAAGTGCTCAACTTGCAAAAGTGCTGCTTCGCCGAAAAAGCGCCATCTCGATGGAAAACATGGCTTTTAACCAAACAGCAGAAACAGGTACCCTCACAGAAGCAACGGGAATGCCTTTTTCCTGCCCTCTGAACTTGACATTGCGAGGAACCAGGAATTCACGCATTCCCCGGAGTTTCCGGCCTTGTGTCATCTGGAAGCCGAAGTGTCACTGGCACCGCCAAATCGTTACCTGTGCGTTCGCCGCGGGAAACCGCGAATGCGCCCTGGCAAGTGCTTGCTCGGGGCATCCTGCACAAGAGGGCATACCAGACAAATTCAGAGCTTTGTAGAGTCAATTCAGTTTATGCAGCCGAATAAATTTCCGCCCGGGCGCGAACGACATATGGTGAGAACGTCGGCAGTGCAGTCTGAGTCGTTTGCTTGACTCTCTTGCTGGCAAGCATTCATTTGCACAATGCATACACAACTCTAGGGGTGTGGCTGCAGTCGCTGGCGAGAGCCATGGTGCGCTGAGTGTGGGCAAAACTCGCCAACACAGTTCTGAAATATTCCTGTCATCGCGGAGTTTATGTAAAGACATGTGCGCAGACAGTCAGAACTGTCAAACTCAAAGCGGAGGTCAGCTAAGACGGGCCAAGTAACAGCAGCATGTAGTCTTGGCTTTCGATGCTCAGCGTGTCACGTGCCAGCTCCTGGCATTTGAAGTGCGCGAAGGGAACTGCTGTCATTGCAACCTTCCAAGCAAGGCGATTTGCCGGGTCTGCAGCGTACTTGCACAATGGGAAGCTTGTGCCAGCCGTTCCTGTTCACTGCCGGCGCTCTTACCTCAATGCCGCACTGCACGCTGTAACTTTCACGCTCATCAATCAAGCTGCCCTATCAACACTACAAGGACATGGCATGCTTGATTCTGACGATATGCGCATTGTTGGCACAAAAGAAGCCAAGTCACATACTATCTTCATGCCCCATTTCCTGGTGAACGGTTCGACTACCAGTGTGCATGAACAAAGCGGCCCTCGGCCCATGAAGCCGGAATCGAATTCCATAGCAAGCTGTGGACTGTTATGAAGCCAACAACAAATCCATGTCTCCTTGACTCACCTGCCCCCTCCAGCAGCGGCTCCCACAGGGATGTCAAGGGGTTGAATAGCCTTGGGCCATGACGCAACATCATCCTGCTCCTCAAAGGAATCGAAAATTGAGCTACAGTGTTACAATGTGCCAAAACAAATGCCATGCTGCCAAAGGCTGATCTCGGCCCGCACGGTCAAGCGCTTCTCACGGCTCTGCCAGCGTAGGAACTGCAGATCCGAGCCCTGCAGCTCAAGGAAGGGCACACCTCGGAGGTCAAGGTTTCTTCACGCAGACTTGTACACAGAGTGCTTTGTGCACCTCACACCGGTTCAAATGTCAAACCTTGTTAGGTGTAGCTAATATGCAGCCATATGCATGACCAGCCACGGGATCCAGAGTTGTCCTCGCTCACCAAAGTGAGCTTCGCCTGGCTGAAGTTGAACCTGCCAAAGGTCAAGACATTGCAACCGTTGAGAGAAAGAAGCGCGTCGATTGACTCCTAAGAAGCATGACGGCGACATCAAGCCCTTGCCCCCAAGCAAGCTGCGGAACTTGCAATATAAGCGGACTCCACAGCATGTATCCAAATGCAATCTGCCTCAGGGTGCTCTCTCGACTTTGCCGCTGAGTCACTCTAATGCATCCTCCGAGTTGCTGCCACCGTTCGCCTCAGCCTACCAGCGCAATGCTTGAACACTGCTGTTTTCCTTTGGCACGATGAGCCTGCCTTCTCGTCCATGCCCCAGGCACGCTTCACACAGGCCACCCAAAGCCACAGGTCCCGGTTGGTGAGGTTTAAGGTCAGCTCCTTCAAGGAAACTCAAGACTAGAGCCACTCGAGTCACTAGAGTCACTAGAGAACTGTTCTCAAGCTTGAATAGAAGACTTCCTTCCGCGTATGCAAGTTGTCTCGTTCCAGGCCTTGCAGCTTAGCTGGCGAGCTGAGGTTTCTGGGCCTCGGATTACAAAAACCCAACGGGCGTAGCGTGGCAACACACTCTGCGCCAGGCGTAGCGGTTGCAGCATCCGCGTCAATTGGCAAATTCCCTGGCCAAATTTCCTGCCTTGTGATTGGGAGGCATTGGCGACTTGAAAGACCTGGCATTCAGCAGGACATGGGGGCATTTTGTCAAAGGTCCGCAAACTCCATGATACAATCTGCCAAGGCACCATGTCGTGGGCCTTGGCCAATGATGCTCGGCATTGCTCGCGGCTCTCCAGCTCCTGAGATCGAGTCTGCTCGGCAGAGGCCCACAGAACAAATAGATTCAGCATGATTCTACATGACTCAGCCCTGAGAACGTTCACCTGCCGCACCCAGAACAAAGCAACTCCGCTGCAGTTTTATTCAGGCGGGCTACCAGCACACCAGGCCACCCCTCGCAATAGAAGACCTCTGGCGCGTCGAAGTTCATAGACCACTTCCTCGGCATGGAATCTAGAAGCGTGCAAGTGTCAGCGCGAACTCCTGATTCGCTGCAATGCAAGAAAACTAAGGCAACTTGCTGATCTTAGACATGGTCCTTTCCACAAGCCGGCCCTGCCCCACATTATCCCAGTCACCAGTCTGGTCCGAGATGCTGCAGCTGTGGGCAAGACTGCAAGTGGTACCTTGACTTGCTCAAGCACGCAAAAAGCTAAAGCTGCTGAATGGAAGACAGCTGCGTTATCAAAACAGGGAAACATGTTCATTTAAAAAGCATGCAAAATAGCTGGGCAAACTTTGACTTTCAGATATGACCTGCTGCCACGAGTACTTCAGGTTTGTCAGCACCGAGATCAAGGGGGCATCTTGGACCTGGAGTTTGAGTGTGCCCTCGAGAAGTGCACGGCTCTCCCCGCATGCTGTTGATGCAAAGCAATTGTCCCAGTCCTCCGGCTTCTCTACAAGCATCACGAGAGCATCATGCCTGGGACACAAGCCACGAACAGGCCACGAATTGTCAAAAACACTCCACAGGCCACCAGCTTCCACTAACAAGTTTCTGACAGGGTGGCAGCCACGCGCATCTCGTTGCAGGGCCTCACATGGCGTGCGTGCGCAGATTTTGGGAAGCACCTAGCTTGAATGCCTGGCAAACGCAACAAGTGGGAGCTTGCCCAGCCTTTCACCTACAACAAGGGGTGGTGCAAACCAGGGCTGCGGAGGAAACCTTGGCTGCGAAAAGCGCATTTCCGCACGGCCCCCACTGCATGACATCTTCCAGTTTCAGTCAGCGTCAGCCAGGTGGCATCCAACTCCAAATCCGCCGCAGAAGGGGCATCTGAAGGAGCACCCGAGGCCGCCAGCAGTGAATCTGCGCAATCCAAACGCCCAGTCAGCACACGACATGGACGAGATAGACCAGGATGCAAATGCACAAGATGCACAACATCATGTGCATGTGCACAATGCACAGCATGATGCGCGTGATGCATGAGATGTACAAGATGCACACGATGCACCAAACGCAGATACTCCTTGATTCACAAAATGTATGTGTGTGTGTGATTCATACGATGGGCAAGAATGCCACGGATGCACATGATGCCATCGAATCATGCACGTGATGCACATGGCGCACAACGCATGAGGTGAATGGCACACACCGTACTGCCCAATATACACAAAATGCATCACATAAACCACATGCTGAAAAGATTGCAGTAGACAAGCAACATGATCGAAATGTAGACAATCGAGATGCACAAGGTGCAAAAGCCAGCGTCACCAAGCCGGATATATAAATGAGTCCGCCCTGGTTTTTCACTGTGCGTCATAATGCTGCCTCAAAGCGTTGGCCATCGGAGTGGTCTGTGACGTACTCTCCGTGCACGAAGGCGGAACCCTGACATAACTTGCAGCCCGCACTTCCCTGGTCAAACATGTGTGGCCAGCACTTCTCTGTCCTTGCGGCCAGCACGTGCAGAAGCCTTCAAGGCACGAATCCAGTTTGTGACACACGCAAGGCCCTGGAAAGCCAAAATCTCGCGCCTTTGGCAAGGGCCTCTTGCAGAGAAGCTGGCTAAAGGGCACCAGCGGACTGGTGCCCAGTCGGGCCTGCATTTGACATCTCTGGCCACGGGTCGTCCAGCCGATTCACTGGCCTCCCAAAGACTAAAGTTGATCATAGCACGGGGGGCTGCGTGTTTCTTCACCTCGGATATGTTGCGGTTCTCTGATTCTCTGACTGGCTGTGTCAATAGCTCGCCACCTCCACCAACAGCTGCTTTGCGCTCAGCTCTGCAAGGCTGTCCTCTCTTTCCTGCCAGATCTCAGCAAAGCCCATTTAGAAAACATGCTTGGAGGTAATGGTACAAGCAATGCGGTATCGACCTGAATAGACTGCCTCCCAGACAAGCGATCAAATTCTGCAACTGCCTGGCCTGCATTCTCAGCTTAAAGTTCCGGAAGAGAAGCCTCTCCGGGCACAGCAGTTCGATGATTGTTGCCAATGAGAAGCGGTTTTGGTGTTTGTGGGAATCTGCGCAGCCAAGCATACAAAACACTCGTGCTAAGCAAGAACTTGCAAACGGCATTTGTGAGGAAACTAGCAGCCAACAATGGCGAGGAATTCTCTGTAAATCAGTAGAACGCCCAGCATGCGCATGTCTCAAGGTGTGGGTTCATTGACTGTTTGAATTTGGGCGGGCAATAAAGAAGCACCAGCACAAATTAGTTCGCAAACAACTTGCTGGAACCTACAATTGCGCTGTCAAATCCTTGGAAAACGCATGGATGCATCAAGTCGTTAAATAGATAGTTGGAATGTGGATCCCAGGCACACATCAATTAAACCGACAAATGTGCTGAATATTGCTAGGGTGGCCAGGAAGGCAGCACAGCTCCAAACAAAAACATGCGCCGGATACTGCACTGTGCTTCCGAAATCTTTAGCGAACGGTGAAAGGTGCTTCAACATTGCAGGCAAAACACAGAATGTACCTTGTCCATGTCTGTCATCCCGGAGCCGCACTGCCGGTACAGCCGGCAGCAGAAACGACGGGAGCACCGCGAGCGCGCATCTCGGCTACAACGCCGCAGTAAGGCCTAAGACCGCCCAGCCTTATGCCGCGCCCGGGGGCAGAACGGCACCACAGCTGCAGCGCTTGCACTCCAACGCCACGAACACTTCAGAGCGATGCGCGGAGCGGACGATTAGGAGCTATTAAAACTAGTCTCTACGCTGCAACGACGACTGCAGCCAATCGTAGCAGATGCTAAGATGGCACACCTCCTTTGTGGTAAAGTTATAGACATCTTTACGAATCATGCTGCTGCGTACCTGTGCGAAAAACAAGAAAACAAGAGTCGCAACCGTTTCAAGCCGCCAGCTTCTATGTGGAGGTTGAACCACCGGCTTTCCCCGATGCGCCAAAGAAAAGAAGCTTGCTGGAAGCGTCTGGCCATCGGCCTTGATCTGGCCGTCGCATCAGAGATGCGCCTGGGCATGCTCGACAGTGCCTTTCAGCACCACGTCATTTCGCGGGACAGATCAGAGTTTCGCGGAACGAACTTTTGCTTTGCGGGACAGAGGCATTGTTTCTCGGGGCGGAGTCATCATTTTGCTTTGGTCTTCTGAGGGACGGTGCCAAGTGCTAAGTGCTTGAGAAAACATGTTGCTTCATGGTAGATGCTTCAAAACTTGCAGGCCAGCAATACTCTGGTGAGAAACAAAAAAACAAGTCCAAATGAAACAAAACGTGCTGGAACGTGCAACTGTGCCTGGTTGGGCCGAGGTGGGCAACGTGAAGTGCTTACCATTTCCCTTCAAAGGTGGCTTGAACTTCAACCTCCAAGCAAATTTGAGAACGACCGCCTGTAACATGACAAAACAACTAAGACATGCTTGGATACAGTGACACAATCAATGAGGTTTAACCACACGAAGACAGAGCAAACGTGGTGCAAATGTTAACGGAGTAATAGGCGCCAAGGCACTTGGAATTCAATTCAAGTCAGCAAGAAACAGGTGTGAATGACTGAACCAGCTTCATGTGTAGGTCTATCTGCTTCCTGCTTCCTGCCTGAAGACCAGCCACACCGGAAATTTGCCAGGACGTTGGAGCTGTGCTGGCTCTGGGAGGCTCTGTGGCACCACATCAGGGTCCACACCTGCCACCTGAGCACAGCTGGCTATGAAGCAATGTGAGCATCCAAGCTTTTCTTTGGGCGCACGTTCCGCGCAAAGGCAGAGCGGAGCAAGGCAAGGCCTCACTCCAAGAGCACAAAAGTTCAAGGATCAAAGCTTGAAGACAAAGTTTGCCTCCTTACATTCGTGTGCAATGTGAAAATGCTGGAAGCACTTGCAGCTGGGCCGCTACGGGAACTCAGCTGCAGCTGCACCATGGGCGCGCGCCAAAGCACATGCATCGGCAAGGGCGGTACGCGGACCTTGGGACCGGCAAAACCTAAGACCAAAGGCCTGCGAGCACACCCCGATGACGCGAGCAATTCACCTGCCTGAAGATTCAAGTCGATTTGGACAGTCATGTCCTGCAATCTCAAACAAACTTGTGGACCCTCTCATCACGCAGCGCAGTCACGTTGCTGGAGGGGGCAGTGTTTATCAAAATGATCTGCATGTCGAACAGCTTGGATGTCAAGGCAGAAACAAATGTTGACCAATGTCTTGCATGATTTGCCGACGATGTTGCATCCGTTACCCAAAGCCATGCTAGTTACTGGTGCGTTGAACACACAGTACCCTGCCTGCGCAGCAAGCATCTCTGGACCGTCAACCTCCGAAATGCTCGCCTGAGGCTCTGAGTGCACGGACCGTTTCATTGGATCCTGTGCCCCCTTTATTCCTCATCACCCGCTACCCTAAACCCGTCCTTCTCAAAATGAAGCGCGAGAGCATCTACGAGTCCTTGGCGGCCTTGACGGCGGCAAGGGCCATTGCTTGCAACCAGGCGCCTCAGACTCGAGTCATTGGAGAATTGCATGCAACAGACTCGTGACAATTAAACTTGTGCCTGCGGCCCCCGCTTGGCTTGAATCTCTACTGCTGGCTCTTGGTCCTTTCCACTCGTCTCCAGTGGAATTGAGATGACTGGATTCTCAATCGAGACGTGCAGCCTGCCGCAAATGAACACCATGACAGACGCTGTTGCACAGCAACAAATGCGTGACGTTCCAAGCCACAGCAAATGCGCCATGTTTGAAAGTCGCTAATTGTAGGTAGAGTACCTGCTCACCCAGCAACGGGGCCCTTGTTCTAGCCCTCGTGTTGGGGGAAATTCAAGAGAGGCTGACACACATTAGGCTTCAACAAACAACAACAATGTTCAACATCATGGACTAGTTTCTCTCCATGTTACAATTGTGGACATGTCCAATGTGACAATATGAGATTGTGCAATCAGTGCACCGAGGAGGTGTTTCGGGCGGGGACTGAGACCTGAAGATTTCGGCCATGAAACTACTGCAGCAAAAGTGCAACAGTGAAAACGGAATTCGGTTGCCCAATTGTCTTGAGAAGTAGTGGCGCGTCTCTTGCAGGACTTGCAGGTTGACTTCCCACTTGCCTCGTCAAAGTGGGCACCTGCCACGGCTCCGCCTGCCGCACAGCCTGCCAAGTGCACCAGCAAAACCAACAACACCTCGAAACATGGACATCCGCCCATCCGCCTTCTCAGCAGCCTCCCACGCAGCCCTCTTTGCAAAGTCTCCCTCTGCCAGCTCCATGAAGAGCTCCGCAGCCCGGACTTTGGGAATCTGGGCAACGCTGGAGCGCAACACCAACGACACAGAGGTCGGAAGCACGCGCAGGAAAAGGGCACGGCGGTCCTCTGTCGGGAGCGCTGCGGGCGCCTCTGCGTCCTGCTTGCACAGGTTGAAGGCCGATCTAAGTCTAAGTGGTTTGTGTGCCATATGGGCCGGTTTCTGACTTTTGAGCGCCTCTCTCAACAATTCCCAACTTGCGCAAGTCCTCGATGCTCATGAAGGACGCTACACTGTCTGTCTCCTCATCCGTGCTGTGAATCAGTCGACAGCGAGGAGCCAAGAGCCATGTGCCAAGGTGACACTCCATTGTTTACCAAACGTTTCACCAGCAAGCAAACGTCTGACGGCCTCCAGCAGTTCTGAAATGCAATCACGCGTAAGGGGCGAGTCAGGAAACAGAGTCAGGAAACGGGTTGGACGAAGTCAGGAAACTGGTGGGTCCAAGTCCGGAAACAGGTTGGGTCGTGTCAAGAAATTGCGATTTTGTGATTCTGATTTACAATCACGCACATTGTTCGTCATTTGCTTTCTACTGAGGGGGGACCACCCCGCTTCCTTGTAGAAACGTCAAAACCTAAACCTAACCTTCAGAACGCTAAACCTAAACCCTGAGAACCCTAAACCTCAGCCCTAAAAACTTTAAACCTAAACCTGAAAAACCCTCAACCCAAACCCTACAACCGTAAACCGAACCCTAAACCTAAACCCCTAAACCCTAAAAAGGCACAATGCACGCCAGCATCACGCATGTCTCTTCATGCCTCTCCTCTCCCCTGATTCGAACAGCTTTGCACGCCAGGTTGTTCCCTTGATCCGAGCCATGACGATATCAAGGAACGATGCGCGAAGCACGCGTCAGAGCGCAAAGTACGCAGTGCCAGACTTGCACTCCAGCATCACCGCCAATTCAAAGGCACTGACCGCATCAGTTCCGAATCGCGTCTCCTGACTCACGTTTCCGCGTTTCCTGCCTCACATTTGCTGCTGTGATATAAATAGTTATCACTTTCATTCTGGACTTGCCTCCAATTGTTTCTTGACTTGCCCCTGTCCATTTCTTGACTCATGTTTCCTGACAGGGTCAATTGTTTCTTGACTCGGTCTAGTCTCAACGGGTAAGGGGCGAGTCAGGAAACAGAATCAGGAAACGGGCTGGACGAAGTCAGGAAACTGGTGGGTCCAAGTCAGGAAACAGGTTGGGTCGTGATGCGATGTTGTGAGTCAGGAAACGGCCCCGGAAACGACAGGAACAGCGTGCCTGGGCCCGAAGTTTGGAGTCAAGTGAATAAGGTTTCGTGAGCCAGGAAACGACCGTGAGTCAGGAAACGACGCGGAAACGACAGGAACAGGGCCGTAAATTGGCTTCTTGGCTCTCGTTGTTGTAATCGCGCAATGTAAAAACTTCTTTGGACGTGTATTTTTCTAATGGGGGGGGCTGCGCCCCCCCCACCCCCCCCCCCGCTTCATTTACAATCACGCACATTGTTCGTCATTTGCTTTCTACTGAGGGGGGACCACCCCGCTTCCTTGTAGACGCTGAGAAACCAAACCCCCAAACGTCAAAACCTAAACCTAACCTTCAGAACGCTAAACCTAAACCCTGAGAACCCTAAACCTCAGCCCTAAAAACTAAACCTGAAAAACCCTCAACCCAAACCCTACAACCGTAAACCGAACCCTAAACCTAAACCCCTAAACCCTAAAAAGGCACAATGCACGGACAAAGCATGCAGTGGCTTCTGCATCCCCCTTTGCATTGCGGCCAGCATCACGCATGTCTCTTCATGCCTCTCCTCTCCCCTGATTCGAACAGCTTTGCACGCCAGGTTGTTCCTTGATCCGAGCCATGACGATATCAAGGAACGATGCGCGAAGCACGCGTCAGAGCACAAAGCACGCAGTGCCAGACTTGCACTGCAGCATCACCGCCAATTCAAAGGCACTGACCGCATCATTTCCGAATCGCGTTTCCTGACTCACGTTTCCGCGTTTCCTGACTCACGTTTGCTGTTGTGATCTAAATATTTATCACTTTCATTCTGGACTTGCCTCCAATTGTTTCTTGACTTGCCCCTGTCCATTTCTTGACTCACGTTTCCTGACACGGTCGATTGTTTCCTGACTCGGTCTAGTCTCATGCAATCGGGTCCACATCGGCAAGAAATCGAAGGGCGCTGCGTCACTGCGTCACGCAAGTGGCACGCAAGTGATCGAAGTCTGGATTGGTTTTTGCTCTCTCCGACTCTCCGCTCCTCTTCGCTGCTCTCCAGCTGGATGCCCTTGCGACGCCCTGCTGTCAGCGCCGGCAGGAAGGAGCCGAAGATCTGGCCGAGTCGAGCCGACTCGCCGACTCGCCGACTCGGCGACTCGGCGACTAGTGGCTCTGGGCATCGCACCCACTGCCAACACTTCACAAACTTCTGCCCCATGTACTGCAAGTGAACAGACCTGTGCACGCATTGGAGCAGGGGGTTGGGCTATCATGTTTGGTGGCCTGAAGGCGATGGATACCAGGGTGTGGTAACCTAAACATTGCAAGTCTATCCGTCGGAAAGCATCCCTTGAATGCTCAGCCCATATGTGCAAGCCTCGCCTTCAAAGTCTGGTGAGGAGAGTGTAAAAGTGCCTAGCATGAGACAAAAAGAACAACAGTGGCAGCTCAAACGAGGTTGCGAAGTGCGATCGACTCGATCTGTGCCCCCCACGTGCGCGGATCTCCATGAGGTAAGTCTCCTGCTCGATTACCCTTCCAACCCCTTTTGACCCCTTCGGCCCTTTCGACCAGCTCCGCGCCGAGGCCCAGACCCCAGACTGCACCGAGAGAATCATGGGGCACTGTGCCGAGGAGCAGTCCTGGCCCCAAAAAAGGGTGCGGTGCGTCAATGAGTCAAGCACTCAAGCTGCTCAGAGCGATGTCCGGCCTGAATGCTGAAATCCCGGAAGGAGCTGTTGAAGCTGACAGTCTCCTGACCCATTTAAGCAAGAGACTCTTCATGAGCAGTCGGGGGCTGCCACCTTTTCAGATGCTAAAATAGTACGGTCCTGATGCAAGTCGAGCAAGATCTGGGACCTGGACATGATGCGAATCTGTCAATCGCCAGGATTTTGCTAAGGCCACGGCTGCTTCATTCGTGACTTTGCGAAGAGGTTTCCTGTGACCTGAGCACGGTCCAAGAAGAGAGCGAGAAGTTCAAAAAGGGTGCAGCTTTCACTAAGGCGCCGGCCTCATCCACCCATTGCAGGAAGCCCTCTTCCACAGAAACCCTGATCCTGCAGGCTGTGCCAGTAAACCAGCAAGCTGGTTCAACAGGATGACTCACGAGACAGAAAGAACAAAGCCAGGCGTAGGCAAGCTCGGAACAGCAGGAACACTCGGAGTGTCCTCCACAATAGAGGGTCTCCAAGCAGAGCTGGCGTGTTACCAGGGGGCGTCGTCTTGGCAAAGCCTTGCGTGGCGCTCGTGTGCGCCGGCAAAAAGGCATCCAATGCTGTCACCGGCGGCGAACGAAAGCAGCTTTCTTTGAACCGAGGCAAGAAGCTGATGAGCTCGCGGAAGTGCATTGGTGAAAAAAGAAAGCGGACATTGCCCAGGTTGAGAGCAACCCTGGCAGGGCAATGGCCATCTTGGAGTGACTCTGAGGAGAAACCTTTGTACTCTTTCAGTCAAAGTGTTCTCTCCCTGCCCGGCCTGAGCTCCGCAGACTCGGCTTCTCTCAGTCTTGCCTGGCACACAAAAATTCATGGTCAGGGAAGAACGAACTGAGAAAGACTGATAATTACAGGCATATTGAAGCAAGAAATCCCCCGGCAATGAATTAATACGCAAGAATATGGCCTGCTCTTCCCAGGCAGCCACCAGTGAGAGCCCAACGCTCTCCTGCCAAGGGGTAGGTTTGCTTGAGAGGAAAGCTGTTCTGGACGCGCAATGTGCAAACGCGAGCAAAGAAAGCATGGACACCAACATGAAGCAGAGAAAGCGAGCGAAGGCAAGATTCAAAGGCGAAACAGCGACGATGACATCTGCAACATGCAGCTGCTTGCCTTCTCTGTGGGCTTTGCCAAAACCAGGCTTCCCAGGCTCCTGGCATGTCAGCGCGCGGAACTGACGGTACCGAGCAACAAAGAGCTGGTCAGCTGCACCTGTCTGACATCTCCAGGGAGCTCAGCTTCAAATTCAGGCCTCAGTTGGAATGAGAAGGTGTTTGGCCCATTTCTTTGTGAAGCTCAATTGCACATTTTTGAGAAAGGGGCAGGCATAGCCAGTGAAAAGCTTGAAGGACAGGACCTAGGGCGCTAGGCACGCTGTGCCTAAGAACACCAAAGGCCTCGAGTTGCTGAGAGTCGCACTGCAGGCCCCCGCAGCTCAAGTGGCGCTGGGGTGGGCAGGCAATGGAAGTGGATTGATAGTACACCTCAAGGCACCAGGACTCCATAGCAGCTATGGCTTTTGAGTTTCAGAGATTTCAGGTCTCTGAGTCTCTTCCTTCTCAAGCGGCGCCACCCTGAGCTTCTAGCCGACCTGCAACTCAAAGCTCATGCTGCTCTGGCCAGCCCAGGGATCCACGGTGTTCTCCTGCAGGCTCTGGCTATGACACCAGACCCAAAAATTTAGCCGCTTCATTCATATCGTTTCTTAAACCATGGTTGCATTGCAAGCTCCTCAGTCTGCGGAGCTCTTGGGAGCGGCGTCAAAGGCTCCTTGAGCGCATGGGCTCAGCACGGGTTGGACTGCGTTTTGAGACTTCCCCCCTTCCTCTGCTTCGGCCTCAGGCTCAGGAAGCAATGGGCGCGGCGACTTCTCTGGGAGGCCTTGCAAATGCTGCTTTTGCAGAAATGAAGTGCCGACAGTGTCAAGAGAGTGCCAGAATGACCAGAGAGCAAAGTGCCCCAAGCGCCAAAAGCGAGAAGTGCCATTGCTCTGTTGCATCCGAAGTATAAAAGCAATCGTCATGACATGCCTTGCCTGACATGGCACTCATAAATCGCACGCGCTTGAACGTCGACAGCGGGCTGCCTGCGGGCAACGCCCACTCCACCTCTCCGCTGACACCGAAGCACTGTCCTGAAGAAATGCTGTCCTGCTGGCTTGGAACCTCGGACTAATCAAGTGAGGGTGTGAGGGTGCAAGGTGAGTAAGTGCGGGCGGGTGGGCGGGCATACGCGCAAATACTTGGAAGTGCACCCAGACCTTCCCAAAGACACATGTGCGTCGCAAGCACGCATTAGCACGCTTGCCACGCGGCTCGCATGTCAAGTCACGGCACATTGCTGCAGCGTGCAAAGGCCTGTATATACGCATGCAGTCGCGCGCATGCAATCACAAGCAGACGCCTATACACGCAAGCGACTCCACAAGCACATGGAATCGTGCGAAATGGCAGGCATGCAGTACGCATATGTAGAAACATGCCGGAGCAGTTGCACTAAGGAGAAAGCCACGTCCTCGTCCCCACTGCTGATGGACTCGACTGACTGGCAAAGTTACTCGCAGGCTCCAAAGGCTGGCAGCCATTCGTCTTTGCCGAACCCATGCCTGCGCTAGAAAGCCTTCAAAGGATAGAGACGCCGGACGAAGCAGATCTGGACCGGGAGGATCAGCAGGGACCTGAGAAAAGAGTAATGCCTTGCTCAAATGTATCATAATAGCCGCAACCGAAATCAACTGTCACTGCAAGTTAATCCAAGACCATAGAAGAACTCACAAAAGCGACCGCGTGCACTTTGGGTTAACCTGGAACCTGGTTGGGAATGACTTCCCTATGACCCGCCGATTTCCCAGGGCCCTGATTTCTCTCAAATGTGATCATAGCCGTGCAAGAGCCACTCATGGCATCGCATACCCGGACACGCCAAGCTCCGTGCTCTGGGCACAGCCGGGCTAACCTCAATAAAAGATTGGTATCATGATACAAAGCGCGGCCACGTTGACTACGTGTCTTGCAAGCTTCAAGCTGGCAGAGTGCGTTTGGAACGCAAATAATTTCACAGTAAGTTGATGAAGAAGGGTATGTCCTTCTCACAGAGTTCTACCTTGCAGCGAGAAAAAAACACAAACAAACTGGGCCCAGCCTATCATGAAAGGCACTCCATAATCTGTTTGGATGCGACTCATGACAGGCTGGGCCCAGGTCCTGCTTTGCCAAGCCTCTGGCAGGTGGCTGGCTTGGCCCAGAAGGACCCCGTAGCAAGAGACGGAAGGCACGGATGAAAGAGTCATAGGCCACATTGCTGAAGCTCCTGGGTCTGAACCCCGAGTGCACGTCTGGCGTGGCCCTGCGCCCATTACAAGTTGTTTTTTGCTTCGAGAGCGCCCTCGTGCGCCGAGCGTCAGTGCCAGCGACTGCACGTCTCCTTTCGCCTCTAGTGAGAGCAACGCCTTGGCCGATTCGACTCTCTGACTCTGGAGCATGCAAGCACTGCAAGCCCTGCAACCTTTCCTAACCCAGCTGTACTATCAAGCGGAAGTCTTTCAAGGCTCACGCTTTGGGCTGCTGCCGCATGCCAAAGGCCAGCAATGCCGGCGGCAGCATCTCCTGCAGCGTATGTCAAGCAAGAGACGGCAACAGCTTTGTCGCAAGCATAAGAGGCGTCCGAATCGGCAGAAAGAAACCCAGCCTCGTGCCTCTTGGCAAGGCAAGTCAGGGTGGTGTTCAATTCCTGGCAATGCAAAGAATCCCTCCCTCACCTACGCAAGAGAAACGTTCCAAGCATGGTGCTGCTCCGAATGCGCCAACAATTTGTCTATTTGGACCATGGCCTTGGCGACCCTATCTCGAGCGCACCGAAGTTGAAAACCATTCTTGCTCCAAAACATCCCCTCCTGCAGCAGCATCCAATCCGACGACCTGGCGACTCTATGGGTCATTGTAAATCTCGAGCGAGACAACCACTAGATCCGCCGACCCTTTTCCTAAAAGGGGATATCATTGAGTTTGTTTCATTACTTCACGTGAAATATGTTTTGGCTGTGCCAGTGGTGATGCTGGCTAGCAGAATGCGCAGCGAAGACAGAAATTGCCGATGCCTTCAGCGAGGCCAAATTTGCAGCGATTCCCTTCAACCAAAAAATCAGGTAAAATGCGCAGTTGTCAAAGGTATGAAATGAGGCAAAATGTGCAGCGATGCCAAAATTTACAGCGATGTCAAGATTTGGTCTCCTTAATCAACATCCTTAAGAGCTCTGCTCCATGAGGTTGGCGTCACCGTGCGGCAGCCTTTATAACATCTGTACGCAATGGTGAGCCCAGATTAAATGCTCATCAATATTCCTGGCATGCGATGACAGTCAACATGAAGCATGTCCGCCATGGCGCGTACTCCACGTCATTCGTGTTCAATGTCTTCAATACAGGATTGCTCAACCCGACTCTCTCAAGTCCATAAACTCAACCACTGCTATAACTCAGAACACCGGAGTGGCGGCCTTTCTGGCATGAAGAAGGCCCTGTAAGAGGGGAAGTGCAGCAGTTGCAAGCCTAGCACAAGCTAGCGTCGTGGTGGTGACGATGATCACTTGTCCGTGAAACTGCACGTCAGCCAAGGCCCGCACCGGTGCACTCCACCGTCCAGCGATCCACTCTCACCTGTCAATGTTGGTCAGACACGGATGCCAAGTCCAAGCTGGGGTCCCTGCCAACTCAAAGCCTGGCAACTCATGCTTGAAGTCCTTGACCTGAAGTTGCCCGGTCAACATGCCAGTTGGCTACCGGATTGAAAAGCAAAAAACAAGGCACACGAAGCTAAGCTGAGCCGAGCTTCTCCAACCTCCTCGGACACTGCACGTACAAACCTGCAATGAATCAGCTACAAACAACACGCACAATCTCTTCAGCTCTCTCCATCTCACTCCATCTCTCCCTCTCTCTCGCTCTCTCTCTCTCTCTCTCTTTCCTTTCTCTTCCCATCTCTCACCATCTCTCTCCGTCACTCTTCATCAATCTTAATCTCGTTCTCTCCATATCTCTGCATATCTCTCCATCTCTCCCCATCTCGGTCCGTCAAATCTCCCGCCATATTTCTCTCCATATCTCTCCATTCAAGCGAAAGGCAGGCCTCGCCCGTAAAGCTAGCACTGGTCCGCCACCAGTGCGCGGTGCGCGTGCTGGCCAGGGTCGCGTTGGCACAAGCACGGTTTGGTCCTGGCCAAAACATGCAGTCTGCTCCCCGCGCAGGGAACCTTCTTGCGCTCGATAAAGTCCTTAAGCTCCAGTTTGCAGCGAGGCCGGCCGCGAGTGTACAGCAAGGCCTGGCTGCAAACAGGGCGCCAAATCTCATGCTTCTCTGGCCTCCAAAAACTGTGCCTTGGCCTCAAAACTGAGACAAGCGCTTGGCTAACAGCTGTTGACAAATCCCTGCAGCCGACCAGTAGGCCTTGGCACGCCGCCTCCAGTGGTCGAAACCACGGCGGGGCCTCAGCTACAAAATTGTCAAGCATTGAGCGCGTTGCACTCAGTTTAGGCAGTCAAAGTAGACGGCTACTGCAAGCCACTGTGCATCTGTTTAGGGCAGGGAGGAGCAAGCATTCACTTCAAATAGCCAAAGGTGCAAAGAGCTCACTCACGCTTGCAGATCCCGGTATGCATGGCACGACCGACATCTGATAACTTGCGCCAGCATCTACACCAGCAAGACGTACCCAATGCCAGAGTGCAAAAGTCACCCAGCCGGCACCTGTACTAGCACCAGCAACAGCGCCAGCATGCCAGACATCAGCATCTACAAACACACCCTTCGCAACGTGAATCGGAGAAACCGGCCAGCAGTGTTGGTTTGCCACATTGAAAATACATACGAAGTTACTATGCAGATATATATATATATAGAGAAAGAGATATGTATATATATATATATTAGATTGATCATGTAATATAGTCTATCTACCATGAAGACAAGACTGGCACTTTAGAATATCACCTTCTTTTCTGGGTTGGAGAACAAAATGACCTCGATAACAAGTGGATAAAAAGTCCGAGTCTGCGGAAGGAATTTAGAACAAAAAAGCCTGTCAACATCCAAATGCGATGCTGCAAATATGCAGGATATACTTGTGTATATATATATATACATATACATATACATATACATATATATATACTCTATTTATCTATGTATATATATAATATGTGTGTGTCTGTGTCTGTGCGTGCAATCGAACAGCTCACAAATCGCTGCTGCTTGCAGGAAGCAAAGCTGCACATCATCATCAAAATGCTGCAGTTTACAAGGCACAGCTCCTCGGACGACACAGCATGACAACTTAGACGCAAACTTCCCGGCGGTTTGGCCCAGGCTGGCTGTCAGAAAGCCAGTGACCTGTGCAAACGGGGGATATCCTCTACAAGCCTCCCCCTCAGCACCACTTGTCAGCTGTGGTCATGTCTCAGAATGACATCCAGAGATGATCTGTCCAAAAACAAATGCAGAGAGCACCTGCTGCAAAAGCTCTTGCTGGTAGAAGAGCGCCATCCCTGACGCCTGCACTCGCACCACACGAGCTGAAGAAACTTTACATGTGATCCCCAAAGAGTCACGAAGACGCGCCAATTTCGAAACATCCACATGCAGGCCTTCATACAAATCCAAGGCTGGCCTTTCCTCAGCAAACCCCGCACTCCCGAACAAATTGCGAATCAGCTGCAGGGTCATCTTGTCGTTGTTACAATTCCGGAGTCTAAAAGCATGCCTCAAAATAGGGGGGAACTCCAAAATGATCTTTGTCCTATTGGTTTCTCTTGAATCCTGCCTGAAAAGTGTATCCTCAGAACACACACCCACACACACACACACACTTTTCAGACAGGCACGAAGCAGCTGAACGTTTGAGAGCACGGAACGTCTTAGAGATTCCGCCAGGGCAATGGAGTTTCGGCTTACTGCACGCTCAAACATCTGTCGTGCCACCGACCATCCTTGTCAGGGGCGCCATCGGTAGTAACACTACTCCATGTTCAGACGTCCAACAAGGTGGCGTCCAACTCCTAAAGCAAGGACAGAAACAAGGAAAAGGTGCGAGCCTCTGCCTCCATGGACTAGGAGGGTCCACGCACACACACACACACAAACACACACACACACACACACACACACACACACACACAAACACACACACACACACACACACACACACACACACACACACACACACACACACACACACACACACACACACACCAACACCACACCACACCACACCACACCCCACCGCACCCCACCCCACCCCACCCCACCCTACCCCACCCCACCCCACCCCACCACACCACACCACACCACACCACACTATACCACACCACACCACAGCACACCACAGCACACCACACCACACCACACCACACTACACGCACGCCCCCACACCACACTACACGCACGCCCCCACACGCGCAGGCTGGCGCGCGACACATACGCGACACACGCGCACACGCGCACAGGCGCACATGCGACACAGGCACACATGCGACACGAGCACACGCCCACACGTGCACACGCGGGCCCGCTCACCCACGCATGCGACACACGCACCATAGCACCCACGAACTTGCTAACTCGCGCACCCACGCGCGCACGCCCGCACGAGCGCATGCACAGGTGCGAGCGCGCGCGCGCGCGCGCAGACGCACACGCACACGAACACGCACATGGACACTGCCCCGCGCAGTTTGTTCCTGGCGCCCGCGCTCGTCGCGGGAGATGTACGAGACCGAGACAGGACGCTCGCCCTCGGGCGTAGGTCCCAAATGTGCCCACTTAGGTCAAAACAGTCCATGCAGCAACGCAAAATCCTTGAAACGCGCTGTTTTATCTCCTCGACGCACGGTGTGGTTTGCAGACATAGCAAACAACGGACATAGGGTTTGGACCGCTCAACGTGCGGCAAGGGCTTGCGGGGCACCTGACCAATTGTTTGACGTGTTGGCTGCAATCTGAAACGGCCTTGCACGTTCAAAGGTGGCTTCTGCATGTATCAAAAATGTGTTCCACCGTCCCTTCGTCCCAAGCCCCCGAAAAACCCACGCCTTCGGTCCCCAGCCGGAGTGGTGCTAAGGTGCACAGCTGGGCCGCCTAAGCCTACTTAGGGTACTTACTCAGGCCAGAAAAAGCTGCCGCAGACTGCCTTTGGCAACGCTGGGCTTGGTGAAACGCGGGATGGCAACAAGTTATGTCACTTATGTGACCTATGTGCCGGCCTTTCGAGCTTCCCCACAACTTTGAAAACAGGATGTGCGGCTTGCAAACCTATCGCTAAATTGCTCATGAAAGAGGCCATCTGGGTGTCGCGTGGCTCTTGGCCCGGCATGGCCGCTGGACTGGCTTGAATCCAGAGAAAATTGGTTGGTCGCACAAGGTCACTTGCAGCTGCAATCCAAGGACAAAAAAAACGACCTTGGTGAAAGCAACAAGCACTTCTATGCACTTCTATGCACTTCTATGCACTTCTATGCACTTCTATGCACTTCTATGCACTTCTATGCACTTCTATGCACTTCTATGCACCTCCACGCAATGCCCTGTTGTGCAGTGTAGGAGTATTTGCTGAAGGCTTGTAGCTCGCTTCATCAGTCTAAACTCTACTATGTCCGCGCCTGCAACCAGGTTATGAAGCAGATCTTGGTGCCAGGTAGCTCATGCGGTCTTTGGAGGGCCGCCTCGCTCGTTGCACAATGCATGCCAACCCGACCCGATGACTTGGCAGCAGAGCCCCGCCTACCCCGATCACCTGGCCCTGGACCACTGTGCCTGGGACAGTGGTACCTGCCCAATTTCCTGCGCCCAGATACAACCAAAGCCAAATCATGCGATGCAAGCTGTGCAATGTGCAAGTGATCCAGGCACTGCTCCACACATGCGCCTTCAACTTGATAAGGTTGACCATAAGGAGCTGGCTGACTATATGGTTGACCATACTGCTCATCATGTTGGTCCTGGCAGGAGTTCCTCGAAAGCCTGACGTCAAAAATAAGGAATCAAAATACAAATTGATCTGCAAAGAAGCCTGCTTTACTCTCGGCAGCTCCCCCTTGCTGCCGTCCTGGCTTCCTCCACTGCTGCTCTTTCTCTTCATCATGTAGAAGAACATGGCAACGCTGCCTCAGGATATCTCGTGTAAACAGTGTGTCTCTCTGTGGGCGGCTCTCTCAGCTTTCTTCAGGCAAATGGAGAGAAAACGACGAACAATGTGGTCAACAGTCAAAGTCCTGATGCGCAGGAAAGCAATCATGTCATCCAGGGCACAACAGCATATGAGTACGAAAGCAATGACAACGATGATGGAGCTGATCATACCTTCTCCATTGCAGTCCTCTACGCAGCACTCCGTGTAGACCTTGGATGCAGAGTCGTAAAGCAAAATCACGGCCAGCAGCACCGAGTTGTTGATAAGGATCAACTGCTGAACGAGCAAGGTTCAACACTATCTGCTGCAGAAAACAAAATAGCTGGGAAGGGTGTCAGCAACAGCCTTTTAAACAAACAAGTGTCACACTGCATCCATAAGCCAGTCTTTCAAAGGTTTTGCTAGCCTCTCCCTCTGTGCTGACAGGCGTACAGTTGACAGGTACTCGTCACAGTTTGGAATTGCATACATGCAGTCCTTCGAAGTGCCGCGGTGAGTTGGTACAGTGCGCGCTGCAAATGATTCACGTGGACAGGAGTTCCAGGGCCCGAAGAAAACAGCCACCGAAGCTCTATGCTCATTTGTGGTGCATGCACGACTTCCATCCTGGCCCAAATGTTCCGTCCTCCGTCTCACAGGCAATGCAGTCGTGGCAAATAGTTGCATTCTGCGCGCAGGCTGCAAGTGGGGGCCATGCAAACCAGCAACAAACATGAGACACGACAAGCGGAACACTGGATTGCCCAGTTGAAAAAAGCCCAGACCCAGAAAGATCGGTTGACCTCTTGTCCAGCCCATTCGTGCAAGCGGGGCCCCACCGTCATCAGGTTCAGGCAGGCACTACTCATCTCCTCTTCAGTCCTTGGATCAGGAACGCCTACGCTCTCAGGTGTGGTTGGTTTTCCTGAGAGTCATGGCAACGCGTTCATGATCCAAGCGCTCCGGCCCTTTCCCGACCCATCTGGGGAATCTAGCAATAATCCGTGACGGTTGATCTTGAACAATCACTGAGCTTTGCTTGCCCGCCTTGCAAATTCACCGACACCAGTTTAGCGTGCAAATGCAAATGGGTATTCTCCTGATTGTGGATTGGGCTGTGGCTGTTCTTTTCAAGCCAAAGCATTTTGGGACTGGACGCTTCTTTGGCGTGAAACTTGCCTGTTGCCTGGATATCGTCAACGATGGCGCCGGCTTGCCTTGGCCTGAGTAAGTAGCTGTTGGGGTGCTGCAGTGCCTGGTGTGAATTGATTCTGCAGATTGTGGCTTTTGTCGTTGTCCGATGTGATGGGCCTTGGGGTGAAGGGAGGTTGACAGAAGCCATGCGTGCTCTAGTGTTCAGTTTGGCAACTGCCTGCGAGCGCGGTGCTAGCACCGAGCTAGCGCGCAGCTGAATTGCCTGTTTTTCAGCTTTTTGCCAGCCACTCTATTGCTGTTGCAGAAGGAGCCGCTGTGCCGGATGCACGAAACCATCCGCATCTCACACGCCACGTCCCTCCTAGACTATACTAGACTAGACTAGACTATATGAACACAGGTTTTGCCCAGCACTCATATTATGAAGCCCCTAGCGCTAGCGCCGAGCTAGCGCCAAGCCAGCGCTGCCGGTTGGATTTGCATGATTCTCAGTAGGAGGGGCCACCTCATTTAAAAAAAGGACGCAACACAAATTACAAACATACTGTATATAGCTCCTTCTTGAACGGCAGCCTTATGCAAGGACAGGGCACAGTAGGCTGCACACACCATTGTTATTGCCATCGTTGTAGGTGCCATACCTCCGCCTGCTGCCAGCGCTAAGTAGCACGACCGCACCAAAGGCACCAGCACCTGGGCTTAAAGCGTTGCAATTGTGATGCGGCGGGGAACCTGACTCGAACATTCCTCTTTGAAATACAGTGGCAGGCACAACCGCAATCGTCGAGCTATGTCCAACGAAAACAACAAACGCCCTTGGGGTGCGCCTTTGGGCTCTCAGATCCCCTGTCCCCTGAGCTCTCCCTGAACTCTGAGCTCTCCCTGAACTCTGAGCTTCCCTGCTGGCATATGCAGTGCGAGAGTGCATCATTCCGCCTGGCAGCTGCGCTTCCTTCCCTTTATCCTGATACGCTTGACTGTTTGGACCCACACCAAGACGGCACTCACAGTCTGCCCATGCAGCTTGGCCAACAAGCGATTCTGGACCTCCAAAGCTGCTGTAGCCACCTCGGGAAGCAAATGCCAGGTTTGTCATTGGTATCATTGGGGTGTCAACGCAAATTTACTCAATACCAGGGCTCGGAAGCGATATCCTTCTTCGTTGTGTTGACACGTTGGAAAAGAAATTGGTGGACAGCATGAAAGTCTGGTGTCCGAACGTGCTATCAGATATCACAAACAAAGCTTTATTTTCCTTCGCTGTCCTGATTCCGTTTCTGTCCACGGCACCATAAGAGCCGTAAGAGCCTCCACCAGAGTATCCACCAGAGTATCCACCCTTGGCACTGGCTCGAAGCACGAGCAGTGCCAGTATCCTGAGTGCCCACGAAAGGGAGGTCCACTCACATCGCTTGATATTTGACTGTGCCACACAAGTTTAGGTTTTGCATTTTCGCCAAGCGTCTCAAGCAAAGGCGCTGCCATTGCTCGGCGCTACTCGGGGCAGTGCCGCTAATAACGCTGCGTGGGAAGGCACGGGACAGCAGCTCAAAGGCATCGCAAAACGTCCGCCCTCTTGGCTGCTCCCCGGTGTGTGCAGGACAAGTTCAGACGTCCGGGAGGTATCACTGACATGTGCAAGTCTCTGGCAAAGAAACAGCCCAGGCCTCCCCATCCTGCCCCTTCTGGCTGGCCATTTGCAGCAAGCGCGTGTCCACCTTCGGCTAAGTTCCCGCACAGGTCCAACAATGGTCTGCACTTTCCGACTCCGAAAATTCGCAGCTTGGGTGCCCGGACGTGCGGCATGCGACTTGAGTCACGCATGATGAGTTGTAAATCGGCCACCTGAAGCCCCAGCTGCAAACACAGGTCCAAATGTCGCACCTTGTGCAACAAGGTGCAACCCTGCCCCTCCTCTGTGCGAGTGCTCAACTCGTCACCTGCTAGCACGGAGAAGCGCAATTTCTTGGCCTCGCCTCGGCTCAATCCGAGATGCCGGCACTGGTTGGAGCTAGGAGCTGGGCCAATGGTTTTGACTTCCTTCTGAATCTGCATCTCCACCAAGACCTACAAATGCAAAGACAAAAGAGGACTTAAAGAGGACAGAAAACCGAGTTGGAATTAAAAAACAATGTCAACTTGCAACAAATGAAACGTTGCGTAGCAAACCACGCCTCGGCATCCACAACCAAGCGAAGAAGCGGTGCCTCTTCTGGAGGAGGAAATGCCTGACAAACTGCTCAGCTTGTGAGGGTGGGGATCGGGCCAAGAGATGCCAATACTTATGAGGGCTGTCTCACCATGCACTTTGCCACAAGCCTCTGTGAAGGCTACAGCCCTGCTCTGGCGCCGCTCCTGCATCGTGTCCCGCTCGCTCTGCTGTTGTGAACTGCTCACTGCCTCCGCTTGGCGCGGCGAGGCGGCTTGAGGAGCGTCAGTCCCTGCAGGCGCAATGTGCACTGTTCTCGCTCTCTCTCTCTCTCTCTCTCTCTCTCTCGCTCAGCTCATAGAAGCCTTCAGCGGCCGAAAACCACACTCTCCACCTCGACGCATCTGAAAGGAACAAAGTGCCACAATGCCTTCCATGTTTCCGTGTACACCAGTTCCAAACAACTCCGCCGGAAGCAGAAGCAAATGATGATCAGGTGCTGCAATGGGACTACTTAGACGCAGCCCTCGGAACAGAAAGTCCTTGCCATTGTCTGGGGCACCGCGCGCTGACGGACCGTGCGATGGTGACCTTTTGCTGCAAACTGACAATTCTCCCTTCCACCGCGGACAGTGCTCCCGTTCAATCACATCCATATCTGTACAAGTGTACTTGCGTATATCAATAGGCATCTACTTTTTACACAATGCAGCAGTAGAAAGAGGAAAAACACACAGAGACAGAGACAGAGACAGCAGCCAAAACACTCGGACAGAGAGATCAAACAAAGAGATAGAAAGAAACAGACAAAGACAAATATACAAGAGAACAAAATGAAGGAAAAGAGGAGAGCAGAAAAAACGACTGAGAAAGAAAGAGAGAGACAGACAATCCAAGAAAAGAGAGAAAGAGAGAAAGATACCAATATGGAAAGGAAGAAAAATACAAAGAGAGAAGAGAGAAAGAGAAAGAGAAAGAAAAAGAGACAAAGGTACAAAGAGACAAAGAGACAAATAGAACAAAGAGACAAAGTGACAAAAGGCAAAAAACAAAAAGACAAAGAGAAGAAAAGACAAAGAGACAAAGAGACAAAGAAGCAAAAATACAAAGAAACAAAGAGACAATGAGAGAAAGAAGCAAAGAGATGAAAGCACAAACAAACAAAGAGAAAGGGAAAAAGAGACAAGAGACAACGTGAGAAAAAGACAAAAAGACAAAGAGAGAATCAGAGAATGAGAGAAGAAAAAAAGAGAGAAAGAAACAAAGAGACAAAAGAATGCAAAAATATACACAGACAGAAAAAACAAAGAGACAAGGAGAGAAAAGGAGCGAAGGTACATAGCAAAAAAGAGAAGAAAGAAAGCGACAAAGAGACAAAGAGGAAAAGAGAAAAAGAGAGAAAATAAGAAAGAGACAAAGAAAGAAACAGATATCGAATCAACGAGAAACAGAGACAAAGACACAAAACGGGCAATCAAAACATGCAAAGAGACAAGAGGACAAAGAGACAAAGAGAGAAAGAGAGAAATGCAAAATAAGAAAAGAAATAAAGATGCAAAAAGACGAAGAAAAAATAATAGAAAAAAACAGAGAAAAAGAGGCAAAGGGACGCAAAAGAAAATAAAAAAGGAACAAATGAAAGAGACAAAGAGATAAAGAGACAAAAAGATGAAGAGACAAATGGAGAGAGAGAGAGAGACAATGAAACAAAGAGAAAAGCAAAAACAGAAGGAAACAAAGAAAGAACAGAAAACACAAAGCGACATAGACACAAACGGACAATCAAAGAACCAGGCAAATAGATAATCAAAGAGACAAAGAGACTACGACACTGAAAGGAACAAAACAGAAAAAGAGACAAACAGACAGTAAAAAGAGAGAAAGAGACAAACAGAGACAGAGACAAACAGAGACAGAGACAAATAGACAAAGAAAACAAGAGGAGGAAAAAATGAGAGAAAGAGAGAAAGATGCAAGGAGAGAAAGCGAGCCAGAGAGAAAGAGACAAAGACAGAAATAAAGAAAAAGAAAGCGAGGAACAGGCAGAGAGAGAAAGAAGGAAAGAAAGGAAGAAAGACTGAAAGGAAGAAAGAAAGAAAGCGATAAAGAGACAAGAGTCAAAGAAAGAAATCGGGCAAGAGACAAGGAGAGCAAGCGAGAAACGGATAAAAGACGAAGAGACAAACAGAGAAAGGGACAAAAAGAGACAGAGACAAAGGGAGAAAGAGCGACAGACAGAAAGATACAAAGAAACCAATGGACAAAGATACAAAGAGAGAAGGAGACAAAGAGATAAGGAGAGAAACAGACAAAGAGGAAAAGAAAAGAGAGAAAAAAACCAAGAGAGAACGAGACAAAGAGATAAAGGGGAAAAAGAGAAAAAAGAGAAAGAGAGAGACAGAGAAAAACACAAAGAGGCAAAAAGACAACAGAGAGAAAGAAAGAAAGGAAGACAGAATAAAAGAAAGCAAGAAACAAAGAAAGAACGAAACAAAGAAGAAAAAAGAAAGACAAAAGTAAGAAGAAAAAGGAAGACACAAAGAAGAAATAGTGAATGAATGAATGAATGAATGAATGAATGAATGAATGAATGAATGAATGAATGAATGAATGAATGAATGAATGAATGAATGAATGAATGAATGAAAGAAAGAAAGCAAGAAAGAAAGAAAGAAAGCAAGAAAGAAAGAAAGAAAGCAAGAAAGCAAGAAAGAAGAAAAAAAACAGGAAAAAAAAAAGAAAAAAAGAAAGAAAGAAAGAAAGAACGATAAATAAAGAACAATAAATAAAAACAAAAGAAAGACAGATCATAAATTAATGATGAATGAATGAATTAATGAGTTACTGAATTCATGAAAGAAAGAAAGAAAGAATGAACGAATGAATGGATGAAAGAAGGAAAGAAAGAAAGAACGAAAGAATGAATGAATGAAAGAAAGAAAGAGAGAGAGAAAGAGACAAAGAAAGAAAACAAAAAGCGCTACAAAATCAACGAAAAGAGACAAAGACACAACGAGAGAAAGAAAGGAAAGACAAAGAGACGAAGAGAGAACGACATACAGAGACCGAGAAAGACAGAGAGAACGAGATACAGAGACAAAGAAAGACAGAGAGAACAAGATACAGAGACAAAGAAAATACCAAGAGAAAGAGAGTGATCCAACTTTTATTCTCCAAAACGTAGACTCCTCTCCACTCATTCCGTATCTGCGCCCCCGACGTGCTCAAGCCCGTTGGGGACCTCGGGGCAAGGCAGGCAGAGCAGAAGGCGAAAATGTCTTCCCATCTTCTCCCTAAAACCATCTACCAACTTGAAGCCCAAAGCACCATGTCCATTTCGATGTTCATGTCCAGAAGGGACGAGAAATCACACAAGCAAGCAAGCAAGCAAGCAAGCAAGCAAGCCAGCCAGCCAGCCAGCCAGCCAGCCAGCCAGCCAGCAAGCAAGCAAGCAAGCAAGCAAGCAAGCAAGCAAGCAAGCAAGCAAGCAAGCAAGCAAGAACCTTACTGCAGCTCAGAGGCGGCGATTTGGGGCTTTCGCTGTGGCAGCTCTGGTCCTTGCAGCAAAATATATAACTGTTGGCGTGAGACTGTGATGGAAATTTGGTTGGATTACAATACTCTTATGAATTACTATTTTTGTCTTCACCAACCACAAAGAACTTCCTTATGCATGGAGAACAGCTGCCCAAGTGTTCTGAAAGGGTTTGCACCAGCACCACCACGCCTCTTTCATCGTCAGCGGTTCCTGCTGAGTGCGACGATGCAAGCGATTTATGCGAAGCTTTGCACAATCTTCTGCCATCTGTAAAGCTGTCAGACGACCATGGCGCTGCTAGCTTTCCACGCGCCTTGCGCCTCTCCTCAGGCTCAGCAAACCACCTTTCAGCAGCGCCAAACCGACCAACGGGGCTTCAAAAACAAAGACATGCTCCAGTTCTTTATTGAAGCCTGGCCTCAAGGATGGCAGCCAAGATGAAGAGCTCTGCACCTATTTCTCAGAAGTCGTTCAAAAGAATCAGTCTCCCTTCCGAGCGGTGCAAACCTCTGTCGCCAAGGTCGCACAGTATGCCATGTCGAGCATCCTATACGCCTGGCCTTCTCAACTGGCTCTGTCTCTGGCACTGGCGCTTCAGGCAGTGGTGCAGCTGGCTTTGAGATCACCACTTCTGGCTCAGGCCTGACAGTCGACGGTAAAAGCAGCCTTGCGGCAAGCTCCACCAGATGTGTGTCCAGCATCATTGGTTGACAAAGCATGGCTCTCATGTCAGAAAGCCGCTTGACCAACTGCTTGTAACGGGAACTTTCTTCAAAGCATGTCATCACCCACAGAGCGGAAAGAAAAGCAGCGACGAGCAACAGCTTTGCGAGGGCGGGCAAACTCAATGATCATGCGGGGGTGTGGGCGGGGCTGGCTGCAGCCCTGCAGTCAAACCCAAGTCTGCAACCAGCAGAGGTTGTACACAAGGATGATGCTTGATGCAAGTTGTTCTAGTAGATGCTGAAACGCAACCGTCAACCATCTCGACGGGTGCCACAGCACATATGGCAACAACGCAAATTCCCGCTGAGAATATTCTCAATAGACGAGTTGAAGCTGCAACAGGCCGACGAAACACCCCTCAAAAGTTTGCACGCCCCAGCAAGAGTCAAGGTAAGATAGACACACAGGTCGAGAGAGTGGAGGGTAGAAGCAGGATTCAGAACTGCGAGCGGAAGTTGGTGGCCCGAGCATGCCCTAGGCGAGCTAGTGCTTGGTGCGCGCAATCGTTTTTTTGAAGCGAGAGCCCTCTGGAGCAAGTTGGGGCCAACTGGCTTGCCCAAGCTCGGCGCCCTTGGTCGCCCCTGTGAACATGCCGATACGTTTTTGCTGTGCGTAATTTGTCCCGAGCCTTCGCGCTGCAGCGAGCGCCCTTCCCACTCCAGCACTCGAGTACTGCAGAAAAGACACCCCAAGAGCGCAACGGCTGCAAGAACGTTGGCATCACGGTAAACTTCAACAACTCACGCATTGGCAAGCACTTGCACAACTCAAGTCGAGCAGCTCTTGCAAGGCAAGCGGCAAGCCCTGTTAACAACTTGCACAAAAGCATGCCCACAATGTGCTGGTGCTTTGACACTTTAGGCTGCAAGCTCTCCGTAGCAACCAGTTCATCAACGCCCCCTTCTGCTTCACCCGCCTTGACCTGAACCAGCTCACAGGCTCAGTGCGTGTTTTCCTCCAGGTCAAGCTGAGGCTCCCGAGGTAATGTCTAAGGAACACGCAAATTTCCTGCCTCCACGGCCAGAAGCTGGTGCTTTCTGCCGGACCTTGCTCTGCCCGAGCCCTTGTATGCAGACTGCTCCCAAGTTGCTGCCAAGTTTGGGTCATGCACTTATTGCATGCTGAGTCATACGGAGCAAATCTGGCAACATAATAATCTGACAACATACGATCTCAATCAAGAGCAAAGCAGCGGTGGAATACGTCAAAGCGAATGTTTGGCCTTGGCACTTGGCCGCCGGACCACTGGAGCTTTCTGTAAAGCGTGAAGGCAGGAGCCAGCTCAACCTGACATGGAGACAATGCAAAGCCAATTAAAATCTGCACCGGCAGCTATCTCAGCGCACCAGCTCCTCTGCTCCGGTGCACCTTGTGTGTAACTGAGGCTATGAGTGTGGATTGAATTCAGGCATTGAGCATACACCTGAGCTTTGCACGTCGTGCAACCACCGGGGGCCTGAGCATGACGAAGCATTCCGTTCCTAAGCCCTGTCACCCAAATGACCTTCAAGCAAAAGTGTGCAAGATGTACTGGAGTAAACGCAAACAATCCAGTTCCTGCACCAAGCCCTCACGCAATGTAAGCCATGGTCCAGTACTCGTTCCCGTATGCAAAAATCAAGTCCCTTGGTTTTGGTGAGTCCCCCCCCATGTCCCCCATGTCCCCCATGTCCGCCCCAAGTGAGGCATGGACCGCTGAAGATTCAGACAAAACTTCACATCAAATTGCGTGCTTTGTTTGTGACGTCTCAAAACTTATGAGTTCAACCTTTCAAGCAATGTAGTGTGTCACATAAAGTCTGACACCATGTCACAACCTCGCCCGCAACACGAGATGACAAAAGGCTTCGTAAGACACCTGTGCAAGAATCTGCCTCCACACATTGGCCTGAATACATGCTGCTGCCGCGGCTTGCTGCCAAGTAGCTTGAGCTGAAGCCACGTTCCCACTGAGGGTCTGTGGCGAAAGGCCTGGAGTCACGTTCAGCCCGTATGCGGTATCAGCAATCACCGTTCATATGAGCTTGCCTGAAGCTGGCAAGCCATGTCTTCCTGTCGGATCACCAGGACCAGAATATGCATTTCATTGTGGACCCTTGAAGGACATAATAGTTATGTGAGTATTTATGTCCTTTCTGGAATTGGGGCTTCTAGAAAGGAAGACTCCTTTCGTAGAATTAGCTTGAAAGCACATCGGCACCACACGCTGGCAGGACCAGCAGGTCCTTCCGAGCCGCATTTGCTGGAGACACCAAGCCTGGCATCAACTTCGCAAAACATCTAGCCGGGAAAGCTTCTGCTTGCTGGCATGATGTGTATGGTTGGGCGTGGATTGCGCCTTCCTCATCTGGCACGCTGGCTGCATTGGCGCTGCCTGCAACGCTTTGAAGCAAACTGCTGGATGTCTAGTCTTGCAGTATGCCTGGCACGTGACTGATTGAAATCATCAGTCGGCACACACTGTGGGACGTTAGCCATTGTCCTCGTTTGAGATGATCCTCATCAGCCAAAACCAATGTGTGCCCACAGTTTGAACCAGGAAGCTAAGGCGGGTTAGTCATTGTTGAACCTGTCTTTGCTCATCTGTTTCCAAAACCGCACCCATGCCATAGACGTCATTTTTCACTGACAAGTTGCTGCCAGACAGCTTGCAATGCTGTGTCTGTACCATAGGCAGGGTGGAAGAGATGAACACTACGAAGTGAACAACTGCACAACAAGGTGATTCAGGCCAAACACAGGGCATGCGCCAAGCGTTTTGCCTGCCCTTTGACTCAAGGCGCCTGCGTCCGGATGCATGTGCATGCGTGCAATGTGCACTTGGGTTCACCCTCCTATGTTTTGTTCTCCCCGTTTTTTGAAGCAAGTTAGTCCAGGGCCGCCAGGCTCTCTCGCACCGCGCGCACATCCACGCGATCCTGTCCGGCACGTCCAGCATCTTGTCCTGGTCCATCATGTCCGCGCCCTCCTCCTCCATCCAGAGCGTCCTCTCTCACGGCCGTAACGTCAACAGCAAGTCGTTTGGCCGTCACGAATCGGTTGCGAAGAAAGATGCTAGATCTGTCATCCAGTGGACAGTTCATCTGTCCGCCCCTTCCACACCCCACATTAAGCCTCGGCAAGCGCATGTTTTACACGCTGCTCCTGGTGTTGCTTTCTGACTCCGGTAGCGCTCCTGCCGACACGGCCCGCTCCAAGAAGTAGACGCGCTTGGCCTCCTTCTCGTTCGGAAGACTTCACGCGGGTGAGTCGAAGACACGACCGGACGCCTCGCTTGCGACTTAGACACGAACTTGTTGGTGTCCACGATGTCCTTGACGGTCGGGTTGCTCTGCCATCCCTGAAGAGCTGAATCATCCATATGAGAGAGATGGCCTGCAAAGCCTGCCCAAATCCAAGGACTTCATGCGGCACTCCGCACTCTCGCACTGGCAGTACCTGAAGGAGCCTTCCTCAACGCTTCAGAGGTGAAGCATGCGTGGCTCTTCTTCATCAGCAATTGCAACTCCGGCGGCGCAGACCACCAAATGTCGTCCATGTGGGTCACACTGCGCCCCCGTTTTCGACTTTCCCCGGCTCCTGCGCGACCCTGCAAAACGCAGGTGCAGTTGTGACGGCGCGGCGGCATCTGGGGTTGCACAGTGGGCGTTCGACCCGCCCAGGCACACCTATCACGCCTTGCTTCAGAGCTCTGAAGAGTCAAGCCCAGCTATCAACGCGGAACGCGGTGCTATCGTTCTCCGCGCCCAATCGCGGCGCAGAGCGCTACAAAACGGAGATGAGCGTGCGCGGGTCACAGGACGCACGCTGCAGGTACCCCTGTTGCGCTGTCTCTGCTGAAATCGCCCTCTCCTGGGTCAAAGCCAATCTTGCCTTCAGCTTCTTCTCCACCTGCAGCCCACCAGGCATCCTGCACTTCTGATTCTTGTCCGACAACCTACTTCACGTCATCGTCGATGGCCTGCTCTTCTGCTCCTCTTCACTCCACATCTCCACTATGCGCTCTGTGGGAGCTTCTGAAAGAGAGTCGCTGCACGCGTCTGCACCCGTGTCGGCACGCCAGCGCGCCATAGTCATATCCTCCAAGCGGCAGCCAGGAGTCAGCGCATGGCTCGTCCTCTGGCCCACGCCTCCTTGACGGCTTCTTGTAGCACCATCTGCGTGGAAAAGATGCTCTCCGGCCGCAGCTCATGCTCTAAATATCCCAAGGCCGAAACCTCACGCTCATCTGGCTGCCCATTGGCAAGCTTTTCGGCACACTGGTAAGGCGTGAGTATCGCCTCCACAAAGTGCAACATGTCATTGTCTCTGCGAATGAAAGTGTCAGAGATCCAAGGCTCACCCCTTGCAGGCATCTCTTGTGCCAGGCAAAATGAAAAGGGTCCACTGCAAATACAGTCTGACCAACGGGAAGAATGTGATCGCACCCAAGTTCTCGGTTTCACATTTGCCAAGGAAGACGTTGGCTGCTTGATTGCCTGTATCCTGTATGTCTGTGACCGTTACTGCTTTCTCGGACAGCTGCGTCTTGGGCAACATGTGTTACCGTGGCCTATTGGTGCAGCATTTGCTTCTGAAGCTCCATCTTCTGCGAGTTTGCACTTTTGAGCATTTCAATACATAATCACTTGCCCCACCTTCCATTTCTGGAACATCTCCCGGAGCACCTGCGCGAGCATGATCTCAATCTACGCAAGCTGGGCTGAGGATCACAATGCAGGCCTGCAATGCATAAAGGCCTGGCATCGAGGTTCAAGACTTCCAAACACTCAACTCAGTCGCATCCATTTGCAACTCACGAAAAGAAAGACAGCTCAAAAATGCATTGTTGGATTTGCCATACTCGCCACTTAGAGACTTGTTGTACTTGCTTTCAGGCCAGCCTTGGCAGCATCCAACTCGCCACTGAAGGCAAATGCTTGAACCGCTCCTGGAAGGCACTGAATCACCTTTCAAGCCGGGCATCGACAGCCAGTCCTTCACCGTCACCAAAGGCCTTGCAACCGCCAAGATTGGATTGCCGTGGTGCAGTCTGTGTGGACGTTTTGTTCATTGCCAGGCGATGAGGAAAATATGGCATGGCAACAGCTACACATGCTTATTCATGCATGTTGTGGTCCAGGTTTGGCATGAAGCGTGTGGTGTCAATCTGCTAGAAGAAAATCAAAAAGCGTCTATACTCACTGTGCCCCGGGCAAATCAGCTATCTGTTCCGGAGCCTGGAATTGCAGGCACGGAGTTGTGTTGGTGCATCTGATGCTCCGACACCGTTGCTATAATATTGCAACAATGATGCGATTGAATCACGGCCAACAGGCGACAACTTCAAGCCGAGCACCAAGTAGGCAGAAATTCTTACGGCAGCCCTCTGGGCCACAAACGAACGCTTGAGGTGCTTCCACCTCCCCAGGAGCTTCCAAGGCCTTTCTGCAGCAGCAGCCACCCCCCCCCCCCCCGAATTCCCACTCATGATTCGTGCATCCTGCTTCTGCTTGATTAACCTTGCTTGCTCCGTTCTCAGCCGTACTGTATTGACACGCTGCCGGAAACTCATCCATATACTGCATGGCAACCCCAAACGCACCTTACAACTAGCCTTGTATTCGGAGACAACCTCAAGAGTCAAGCGCCGGAAGGATGTGAAATGCAGTAAGATTAATTCCCCAAGGTAAAGGGCAGGAGCATCCGCCAAATCGAAACTTGTACGTGGTAAACTTGAAAGGTTGAACTGGTGCTCCCTTCGTTTGTCCATCGTTCCACAAAACGCAGTGAATTTCTGGACCGATTGATTAGCATAGCAATGCCGCTGAGGTGAGTGGGGGGCAGAATCTGTTCCTTCAAGGCGAAGCACTTCGCGGGCCAGTACTACTGCATGATGTGTCTTGCATCCGAGAGGATTACAAACGATGTAGGGAGTAGAAACCTGTGTTGGCCGAACGGTAGTTTTGATGCAATTGGCAAAGCTAGCTAGTTTGTGCAAGTGGGAGCTGTGGTAGCACAAGGAGCCAACCACATATAGAAGCAGCGAGAGATCCCGGGAGCACTAGGTCACGCACGGACAGTGGTGGCACTGACAGCACCTCGGCCTGACATGGAGCAAGGAGTTGAGTCGCCCCTTGCAGCATTAACATGCATCAACATGCATCAATACCAAAAACTGACCTGGGCACCTGCCTCCCTGTCCCAGTAGCTCCAATTGCTATCAGTGCGGGGTGCCGTGCGAGGCGCCTTGCAGTCTTTTCACAGGACGATTCACTCTCTGCTTGCTCAAGTTGCTCAATTGCTCAAGTTGCTGTTTTGCTTGACATGCTTCGAAGATGTCAAGCGTTTCGCTCAGCTTTGCTTGGTGCCGCACCTCGGCCGCGTGCATCCGCTCCAGCGCCATGGCGTGGCAGCGCAACAGCTCTGTGGCAGGCAGAGAGACGCGCAGACGCTGCAGCCGTGCCTGGCTCCAAGAAGCTCAGAACTCCAAAGACAAACCGCCTCAACGAAAACTTCCAAACGAAACCAATGTTGTCAAGATATCCAAACATCCGTCTCACTGCTTGCAAGCCTGCTCCTCCTCGGAGAGCTGCACGCGGCTCTTGACCACCAAGGCGCAGTACTCGGCTTGCAGCCGCAACCGCGAGAGGTTCTCCTCCTGCAGTAACCAGCTGAAGCTCGCCTCACAGAGCTTCGCAGAGCTTCGCAAAGCTTTTGAAATTTGAGTCTCCCAGACAAAATCAATCTTTGGCCCTTGCCTTGGCTGGCGCACGGATCTGGGCCGCAGCCCGGATGCAGCGAAGTGCATAGCGCCACCACCTCAAGGCACATCCACTTTTCCTGCATCCAGCTTGACTGTTCACACCAAGTGGCAACAAGCTGCTGCCTTGCACCGGCAGTGTGGGCCGATGTGGCCAGTAGCTTTGGATCCAGTGCCGAGTCACTTCCTTGACGGAGGCGCGGTATCAATAAGTCAAGCTCGTGTTGAAGACTCTCAGGCTGTATGAATCTACTTTCGGCGTGTTTTCGGCTTGACCGTTCCGAAATGCCATGCCTGGAATGCGAAGTACTCTGAAACCAGCGACATAATGCCGCAAATACCTGGCAGCTCCGAGCTCCAAGCCGTAAACATATGTTGGATGTTTAGTTGACGGCCTCGGTAGCTGTCACCAGAGATCAAAACCTGCAGCAAAACATCTGCAAACATGTCATTCTCAGGTGAGTCATCATCAAAACCGGTATAGAATGGTTTACCCAGAACCATGTAAAAAATTAGGAAGGCGGCCGCAGCTGTGAATGGTTGGGATTGCCCCGTACTAACCTTCATCTTCCCGGGTCTTGATGGTGGCTCAGGTACTGAATGCTAATCGGAAAATGTTATTTCACCCACCTTGATTGATCAGGTTGCAAACCTATACACTTGCAGTTTGCCTGAAGAACGTCCTTCCGTCTTCCGAGACCATAACACCTTGCCTGAATTCTGTCAAGCTCACACTGCAAGTCAAAGCGCGGCTTCTCCGCAGACTCTTCGAGCGCCTTCCAAAGGGAGAACGAATCTCAAACACGAGTCGCGAGTCGCGAGTCGCAAGTCGCGAGTCAACTTTGAGCCCCAATTGCGCCTGCGTCAACTTCAATGAGCCTGAAGTTTCCGGCAGCAGATACGCCACCCGGTAGCCCTTCTTGAGACGTTCGAAGGCCTGCTGGCTTTGCCGGCGCTCTCAAGCCACAAGAGCTCACTTATTCATCTTGTTCACTTTGGTCTTGTGGGCTAGTGCAAAGTGGTGTGATCAAACACTTTACCTTGTATTCTACGTATTCCATCGCGACGCTGTCAACCGTTCCGCCCAGCCGTCATCAATAAGTTTGATAGACGGCGCATTCTTCACTGAAGCTGCTTGATGTGACTATTGATTGAGTGATTGATTCATTGATTGATTGGTTGGTTGGTTAATTGGTTGATTGGTTGATTGGTTGATTGGTTGATTGGTTGATTGGTTGATTTGTTGATTGGTTGATTGGTTGATTGGTTGATTGGTTGATTGGTTGCTTGACTGAATGACTGATTGACTGACTGACTCATTGACTGATTGACTGGCCACCTTCTGTCAGAAAGCGGCGAGTACTACAGGGGTCCTAGTCTTTGCCTGCTGTTGTCCACACTGTTCTTCACCCATGCAGGATTGGACTTGAAATCTGCACAATGTCCACTTCTTCTCCACTACAAACAAGCCATGAACTTCGCAATATCTACCTCACAGCCCACTGATGATACCAGGATGAGGCAATGGGACCCCTGAATCGACAATCATATTGCCAGGTAACTATGCCTGCATGGCGTGCCATTGGGAGATTGAGCTTTAAGCTGTCGTAGAGTGACTGTGAAGAAAGACAAAGAAAGAAGAGCGAATGAACCAAAGAGAAAGAGAGAAAGAAAGAGAGAGAAAGAGAAAAAAAACAAAAAGGATGGAGAAAAAAAAGCGAGAGAGAGAGAGAGAGACAGCGGTGCTGAAGTTCACAATCACCCAGCCTTTGGCCACGGATCATCCTCAAAGCAACGGCGAAAGTCCTGTGGCTCTCAGAAACTTGCCGAGCTGTGCGGCAACAGCTCACGCACCCAAAATGGCCAGGCCTCATCAGTCAGAGTGCTCTTTGGACCGATTTTGGTCGCCCAGCCTGGCTACTCAATAGAGGGAAACTGCGCGCTCCACCGCAAAAAATGATGCTAGCAAAGATGCTCCACGATCGACGCCTTCGATCGCACCCTGCAAAAGTAGGAAACAAAATTGCGCCTGGCAGCACGTGGTAGCAGCTCAACCTCCTGCGTCCGGGTGGCGATCGGCCGCAGGCTCACAAGCACAGCACTGCACGCGATGTCTTGATTAGTCATGCATCCAGCCTCAGCCGAAGCAGCTTGAATAGCTCCTTGACGCCAGATCGCTCAATAAAGCTGGGCTGCCAGTCCTGACCTGGTAGCGCCCCGCACTTGGCAGTGCATGCACTGCATGCACGCTTTGCACTGCTGGCACTGCTTGCACTGCACAAAAAGCATGGCCTGTGCTCTGCACCGAGAGGTAGTCTAGATATACGCCACCAGAAACCGGCCGTCCACCCGCTGCAGGACTGTCATCCTGTCCAGGGTTGTGTTACTCCAAACAGCTGAACTGAACAGTACTGCCCGCGAATTTTACTGACCCACTTGCTTCTTGCTTGTGTTCGGCCTGATAGCGCAAGTGTAGGTCTCGCAGGTTTAATTCCAGATTGTCACCAATCCGCGTGGCCAGGCGGTCCAGGTAGCCTAGCGAAGGCTCGCTTTCTGCTGGTCCTTTCAAGTCGCCCTTAACACCACGCCTTCCTTGCGCTCACCCTCTGGCGAGGCCTCTTTTAGTCCGAACAGCAAGTCTGCGCGGTCGACCAAACGTTGCCTGGCAAAGACTCAAAGACTTAATCACAAAACAAACTCCCATGGCAACCGTGTGATTGTGAAAGCAACTTTGACTTACCATACTATTCAAATTGATTCAATGCTCTGAACAAACATCAGGTTTATCATGTTGCAAATAAATGCTACGTGATGCTCACGGAATACCAGGCCTAGCCAACTGGACGCGGCGCAGCTCCTCTTCGTTTGACCATTCAGTGGATGGCTTTGGGCCCAGCAAAACGCGAAGCCCAGTGAGTTCTACTACCACCTCGGCAGTCGACAAACAGCGCACAAAAGTTCCTGTTTGTATCCTTTAAATCGCAGCATCCACAGGTCGAGTCTGAGATCCCACGCGGGTCGACTGCCAAGCCGATTCCAAGGTACGTTGATCTTCAGATCCGCGACCTGAAATCATACCCAGCAGTGAAGTAAAGGAAAATTGGAACTGCTTGCCGCGAATGGCCCGTGACTCAAGAGCCAGCGCAGCATGCCCAGGAGCCAGCTTCGCCGAAAAAGAGCTGGAAAGGCAGATTGAGAAGTTCCTGGGTAGCCAAATGCAGGCTCTTCACATAACGAGATTGACTTGCTGCAACAAAGTACAAAACATGGATGTTTGCAAGCAAAACTGAAGCGCGCACGCGCGCACGCGCGCACACGCGCACGCACATGCATGCATGCATGCATGCATGCATGCATGCATGCATGTATGTATGTATGTATGTATGTATGTATGTGTCTATATATACATATATATATATATATATATATCTGCTCGCCCGCCCCCCCCCCCCCCCCAAGATCCACCTTTGGGCTGTTTTGAGTATATGTTGGTGCCCAAAATCCTTTTTGGGTGTGAATATATATATATATATATGAGAGCAGGACGCTGCGAGCGTGCACTTTTTTCACTTTTTGAGTGGAAACTCGAGTTGAACTATGTTTGCATAAAGTGTGTTTAAATGTCAGCTGAATTGTAAAGAAATTTGATTGGAAAGACCATACTGTGTAAACTATCAATTAAACTAGAATTATTCTAACTCAAATCCTATTATGAAACAGAAGTTGTGATTGGATTCATTCCTTATCAAATTATGGTTAACCTCTAATTTATTGGGTAAGGATTTACATCTAAATTCTAAATGTAAGATGTAACTTCCAGTAGGATTCTGATCAAGTATTTCCTTATTGAGTCCTATTGAAATCCTATTCAAATTCAAACGGAATTTTAGAGAGCGGCTGTTGGTGGAGATGTGAATTGAGTATGGAAAAACGCTACAAAACACTGTTTTACTGTGTTTTCTGACCATGGTAGTTCTGGGGCTAGTACACACAAACAAAAACACAATTTATGACCTCTGAATTATCTCCTTCTGAAATCTACTTAATATCTTTACCAAATAATTCTACCCAATGTCTGACTGAAATTGACTACAAATTATTAAGGAAAGACTCCAATCAAATTGTATATGTTAAATTACATTTTAAATTATGATTAACCCAGTTCAACGTAAATGTTACACGGGAATTCCTTTTCCAATAGAACTGTCCTTACACGTTGCATGGCTAAGAGCCTGAAACCTCCAAATAATTGGATTTTTAGGGACAGTGCAGCACTTTTGCCTCTGTAAAGCCAAACAATAGGGACGAGCACCCTGACCTCAAAAGTGCTGTACTGTCCCTATTTGTGTTGCTTTGGAAACACAAAAAATAGGGACAGTACAGCACTTTGGGCACCCTGGTGCTGCACTGTCCCTATTTTTTCAATTGGAAACTCAAAAAATAGGGACAGTACAGCACTTTGAGCATCCTGATCTCCAAAGTGCTGTAGTGTCCCGATTTGTTTGATTCGGAAACACAAAAAATAGGGACAGTACAGCAACCTGACGTCAACAGTGCCGTACTGTCCCTACTCTTTTGCTTTGAAGAGACAAAAGCGCTGTACTGTCCGGGAAAAAAAAAAAAAAAAAACAGGTCTCAGGCTCTTAGCCATGCAAGACTCTGAAATGATTGTTGTTTTTGTTTTTTTAGGGACAGTACAGCACTTTTGCATCTCCAAAGCAAAAAAATAGGGACAGTACAGCACTTTGGAGCACCCTGATCTCCAAAGTGCTGTACTGTCCCTACTTTTTTGCTTTGGACACACAACAAATAGGGACAGTACAGCACTTTGAGCACCATGACCTTCCCAAACTGAAAACATGCAATAAAACGGAGGTTGTTTAACATGTTCAACACACTTCAATCACAAATCATCTGCAAACTTCTGCTTGCCTATCCTTCTTCGGGCTCAAAATTGCTGCAAAAACTCTATAAAAATGCCTACTCAAACCAAAACATCCGCCAGCATCACATCCTGTCCAGGATCAGCCCATCTGACAAAAACAATGTCAAATCTAAACGAAATCCGTTTTGTTTTTCATCTGCTTCAAACAGTTGAAAACTGCTCAAAACACTGTAAATTACAGTGTGTTGGCAATGTTTTAGCTGTCCCCAAAGCTGGGGGTGGATCTTGGGGAAAAAGGGCGACCATATATATATATATATATACATACACGGCAAATACGCCTACAGGCACATACACATGCACACAGACACACACACACACACACACACACACACACACACACAAACACACACACACACACACACACACACACACACACACACACACACACACACACACACACACACACACACACACACACACACACACACACACACACACACACACACACGCACGCACGCACGCACGCACGCACGCACGCACGCACGCACGCACGCACGCACGCACGCACGCACGCACACAGGCACGCACGCACGCACGCACGAACGCACGCACGCACGCACGCACACACACACACACACACACACACACACACATACATGCACACCTTTGCTTACACCTTGATCAGCGCAAGCTACGACAACCTCTTGCTTTAGACGAGCACTTCGAAGATGAACTTCCCCACGCCAAGTGGTCACAGAAAGATTCTGTTTGTCCTTGGCAAATGCGCTCTTCGAATCACGCAATGTCCACAGAATGATACCTGCCCCGAAAATGCACGACATCTCTGCTCTGTTTGACATGAACAATGTGTTAACATGCTGACACCAGTTGACATACCAGCATGATCCTTGTACCAAGCAACCACTCCGAATATGTAATCACCCAAATACCGCAAAAGGTACTGCTCCACAAAGCCTTCGAGCCTTGGCAAGTCATCCCGTTGTGATGGAAAGCAACACTTCTGGGCTGATTGATGCCTTCTGACATCTGAGCCTTGCACATGGACAATGCTCAAGGTCATCAGTTCGTTTGTGACAATCCATGGGATGATGTTGCCAATGTGTGCGACATGTCACCCCATTGTTGTTTGGATCCAACTTGACAAACATGTTGAACTAAGCGTCAAAACAATGGGCGGGCAAAGCTGAGAGGGCAAATTGACCATGTCCTTGTATGATGTCAAGAAGCAAATTGATGACTTTGATTCGTGACCATACTGCCTTGTTCTGCCATGTCACGAAAGTACGGTACTTGCATTTGCTGTTTGAGCAGCGGATAGCGGTATCTGACAGTGCTCCTCGCAATTACGAATGTTTTTCTTGCAAGCAGACAACATCAACTTGCTCCAAACATGAAGCGGTTTTGGCGTGACAGGATGTTCTTGTGGTTTTTTTCTCTGACAATCGAAATATAAGGCGCATGCCCGAGATGGCCTATGCGCATGTCAAACCGCCTGTCCAAGACATGCTTTTGGCGACAGCATCTTGGCTTCTGAAAAACAAAATACAAGGCGCAAGCGCGCGATAGCCTTTAAGGTCTACAGACCGCCTGTCCAAGACATCTCTCATCTTGGAAATCCATCTAAATTCGGCAAGTGCGAGCAAAATGAGAACTGCATCAGGTTCTTGAGGCGACATTTTCTGCGCCTTTACATTCAGGGAATACCTAGCGCGCACCACTTGTTGACCCCACAAAATGCCCCCCCTCCAGGTTTCAAAAAATACAACGCTGGAACTGACACGGCCAATCTTCTGGCCGGCTGTAAGACACAAACCAAAGTGAAATGCATTCGTGCATCAAAACCGTAATAACGTGGTAAACTGTTTGTCTCACAAGTTACACCATGCGGAATGATGATGATAACGCTAAAGTTCTTTGAGTAGACCCAAACGGGTGTTTTTTCACACCAACAGCCTTCAAAGGCAAAGCGGAACAGACGCAACACAATCGCAACCATGTTCTGTGCTATTGGCTCAGTCCAGTCAGTCTAGCATGTGTTCACGCTTGTGTGCAAACGCAATTCAGCTTTGGCGGTGTCGGAGCCTGGAAAGGTCAAAAAACCAGTGAAAAGACTTTTTATCCAAGAAGTTGGAATTCTGTTCACTGCTTTGAGCCCAATGGTGGAACATAAGAACCTGACAACAAGCCATGTAATATGTGCAAAGGTCACCCCAAGGGCGCTGGCTGAGTTGTGCAGGGCAGTGGCCTGCCCATGCACATGGAGCAACTTTGGAATGCTGAAGTGCATCTGATCATGGCATTGACCGTTGCCTGAACAAACAAGCACAAAGGACACCCAAGTGAACAATGTGGTGGACCTTTAAGAAGGGTTCAAACCCTTGCACCTCAGCCATTGCACCACCCATAACGTGGGTTCTTATGTTCTACCATAAAGCTTAAACTTGCACAGCAGGCAGACATCACGCAAGTGGCTGCTGGAAGAAAAAACACAGCACAGGCACACATTCTGTCCTGCCACTGCCAGATTTTGCACTTTTATCATTCATTTCCCTGAATGCTATAATGCAGCAGGAAGCCTTGGGGCTGCACTATAACGACCCCTTTGCAATTTGTCCCGCAACTGCGTTTCTGCAAGGCGAGCTGCGAAAGAGGTAAAAAAGGGGTTTAAACCACTGCCTTCTACGTGCCTTCTGCGTGCTTCTGCGTGCGTGCCTCGTGCCTTCTGCGTGCTGAATGCGTGCGTGTCGAATGCGTGCCGATGCTGCCGAATGCGTGCCGGGTGCCGGGCGCAGGCCGTTTTCCTCTCGGTCTTGTAACGGATTTACAAGCCGGTTTCACCAACCAATCGCCCTACCGTCAATTCTGTGCGGGCCACAGAATTGCCTCTGTCAATCCTGTGCGGGCCACAGAATTGCGTTATTCCGGTATATACCGGGGTACCTGCACAAGGCAACCGCTGTGCACCCGAAGTGGGCCGCGACTCTTCAGTCCTACCTCGCTCGGGTTCAGGCAGAACGTGGACACGTTCAGATTGGCTATACTGCTCGTGCAGACGATGGGTTTGGCCGCCTTTATGCTGTTGGACCCTCTGCCCAGCTGATGCCGAGGGCACTCCGATTATTTGTTTGGGGCCACTCACGCGGAGGTCGACCTTACTGGCTGCTTCAAGGAGAAAAACACCGACTGACGTTCTGACGTAAGGAACCTCAGTTGAAAAAGCACCTAGCCAGTTTGATGTCGGCAGAACGGCTCCTGTACCTTCAGCAGAACAGAGAAGTGTTCATTGCTTTGAGGAGTTTGTGCCTATGCTGGGGCATGTCAATCAGTTCAAATATTTTTCAACCTCGGATAAGGAAGATGTTGTTTGATTGTTCCCCACTGGCGAACATCTTGGATTGGTTGAGAAGAGTCGGCGATCGTTGCGTACCTTCACCTTAATTTTGGAGACGGCTGAGTACCTCAGTGTTGAAGAAGTTCCCGTCTTCCTGTGCAATTTTTTACCCATGTTCAGAACACTACCATTTTGCCCGCCTGTTCGTGGACTGACAGTACGAGAAAGAAACGACATGCGGCTCGCCTCTTGGTTTCCATAGGTTGCACCGATAGAGAAGCAGCACGGACCTCGATATTACAGCTCGCACTACCTTTGCCAGAGGATATGTTTCCTGCCATGAAACGGCCTTTGATGCCACTGATGTTGACTCGGCCATTGCCAATTCCAGCGTCAGCAATATTCGTAAGAATTACCCCGGCAACACCTTCATTTCGACATCCATGACCAAAGGCCGCCAGGTTCTTTTCCGAGACAGCAGCCTACACAAGGTGGCCAGGCACATGGAGCAGTGGAATGAACTTGGCAGCATCTTAATGGATCTTGCCAATCGTACACAGAGGGATGGAGGTGATGCCCAGCCTTTTTAAGTCTGTGATCGACTGGCATGCCAAGCAGCTCTCTGTTGCACTTATCAATGTACGAGCTTTCACTCAGGAACAGACGACACTTATTGAGTTGAGGCCTGTTGCACTGCTCCTAGCTTGAACCCAAACAACCCTCACATCAAAGAACCCCGCAAATCCAAAAAACGCGCACTTCTTTCTCACGGGTTGCTTGAAAGTAGCACTGCCTCCAGGGCACGCGGTGCACCTGGAGCAGGAGGAAGCATTGTCCCCCTCTTCAGTGTTTCCAAAGCAACCCTGGACAGAGCTGAGCCAGCTGAGTAGCCGACCAAACCCCCCTTCAGGGCGAATGCGCACATTGTTCGGAAACTGCTTGAGATGCATGGTGGCATGCTCGAATCCGCTCTTTTAGCACGCTGAGTTTGGTGACAAACTCTTTGATGCCTGACACGCGCCAAGGCGATCACGGTGGTAGTGGCCCTCTGAACAACTGGGCGGACGACCTCAGCCGAGGGCGTCTTCACCGTTTCATGAACCGCCCTGCAGACCGCGTGCGCTTCAGCCCTCACAGCCTTGCTCAAGCTGGAAGGGGCTCACTCTGTGCCCCATCGATGCGCCTTGGCGGCCAGAACACCTGGCTGCCCTTTTGGCCGCGCTGCGCCGCCCAGACGCGCATCAACAACTGGCGCTAGTTGTCATATTCTTCGCAGCCATCAGTGCGCCCATTTCCTGGAAGAAAGTGCAATTCCAACTTGGTGCGGATGGTCACTCAACTTCAGCCTGGAAACTATTGAACTCACTCCACTCAAAACCCTGAAGCTAAAAGAGCAGCTATTCGCATTGCTCCAATCCAAAAGAATCAAAAGAAAGCTTTTGGAGCAAGTCCTGGGGCTGCTCATCTGGGCCACCAGCCTAAGTCTGGAGTTGAGATCTTGGCTTGCGCCCTCATACGCAGATCTGCATTCGCCGCCAGGATGCATGATCTCAGTGAACGCACGCCTGTGGCCTGCATTCCTTTCGGCGCTGAACGCCAAAGCCGTACTGGCCTCGCCCGTACACGGCATCTTTATGCCGCTCGGCTCCAGGGTATTAGAATACCAGCAAACCCCAGCACGCACCCCCTCCGACTTGCCTCGCGTCGTGCCCAGTCACAAGCCAGCGTGGGTGCGCATAGCCGACCCTGCTGCCGAGCACACTCGCTTGTCCACAGCAAGCAGGGCTAACATCGAGTGGCTCCTTCAATGTTTTCAGGCAGACTTGGCATGCCCGCTGCAAAGCAAGCCAATCATGGCATGCAAAGCAGCCGCCGATGCTTGTGCCGAAGGCACCAAAGTCGGAATAGGCGGCTGGTTTATATCCAGCCGCTCCGTCTCATGGTTCGCAGAAACGTGGGACTTCCAAGAGTCCAGCAGCAGTGGCCTTGCCTCACCAAGGAGGCCCAACGCTACATAGCGTGCTTCGAAACCTTGACCCAGCTCGCGCTCATGCGAATCGCTTGGACCGCCGAGGGCCAAGCAGTGCACGGCATACGCATGCCTTCCGGCACAGACAATACCGCATCAGAAGCCGCATGGGCCTACAAGCACAAATGGTCAGTGCTAGCCTCGCATATGCCAGGCGAGCGCAACGTGTGGGCGATCAGCTCAGCCACGGAAACACATCCGCATTTGACAGCAAGCCGCAAGCTCGCTTTCGTTTTCGCCCACATGATTTCTGGCCCCACAAATCCATGCTGTCATTGCATCCGCAGAGGGGCGCAGACATGTTTTTCCACCTGCACCCCCGAGCCTTAACTTCCAAGCAACGCCTTATAAAGAAAGAGAGCATGCGCACAGGTTTGTCGGTCGTACTCTTTCATCTTCTGCTGCATGTTCCCTTTCGGATTGAAGCAGTGATCAAGATTCTAACAAGCGGGCCTCAGCTTCTGCACCAAAGTACAAGAACCTGGTGTCCTTGCCAATGATGACAATTGACACCGCGCCAGGCGCCGCAGCTCGGCCACCTTCCGGAGTCATCAGGAGCTTCGCCCTTTCCTCAGCTTGAGCAGTACATCCTGCAACAAGGTCGGCCAGTTCTCCTAGTCATGTGTGTTGTTGTGAGGAGTCATCAAGAGAAGTTTGGGGGCCTGGGCAGCACGGCTCAAGGAGCCATGGTAGGTGCGAGCAGGGTGTCCACAAGAAAATCA